ACAGCAGCCCACACATCCCCGGAAGGGATCCGTGGGCCTCCTGCAGTGCCAGGGCTGGGGGGGCAGGGGACAGCGTACAAGGGGCATTGGAGGGGAGCGACCCCCGGCTGTCACCACCGTGGCTGGGAGCACCCCAGGCATGTAGCCCATGGTTCCCACCCCGTAAGAGAGGTCGGGCCTGCCCCCCGATGTCCCTGTCCCCCCTCCAACACTAACAGGGGCTCCCTTTCGAGCCGGGCTGTGGGTACTGCCCGATGTTCATGGTCTCCACGTCCCTTGGGCGCCGTGGGGTGAGATAGGGCCCTGCTCACCCTTCCCATGGAAGGAGGGCCAGGTTCCCTGGGCACCTCACCAGCTCCACGTGGTACCCACCCCCACACACAATCATGCATGCACCTGTTGGGCCAGCCTCCCTTGGAGACACGGGTGACTCGAATGAACTGCATTTTCAACGTGCCTTCTCCTGCTTCAGGACCTGGGGCCTCCTCCTGGCCCTCCCTGGTTAGCCCCCGGCCCTGGGCCAAATCCTCCTGTCCGCGGAGCCCAGAGCAGTGGACAGGAGCAGCCTCTGGGGTGGGGTCCCTGCCCCTCCGTCCTTTGATCTCAGTGCCTTGCTCGGCTCTCCAGGGAATCCCTGCAAGCCTGCTCCCCGCCCCCTCCATCCCCGAGCATCTCAACTGTCTTCAAACTTTGGACAGAGCGTGGACGCCAGGTCTTCTGAGGCCCACGGTGGTCTCGGGGAGGGGGACACGGGCTTTTCGAGAACATGGGGAGTCCGCGGGTGGTCCCAGCCCTCCCTTCAGGCGCCGGGGGCAGCCCCCAGCCTGTGAGAATACCGTGTCTCAATAGGCAGCGACCTGCTTTCTCACTCTTGTTGCACGTCTTCCGTCCTCACAGCTCTTTCAGAGTCGCGTTATCTTCCACCCTCCTGGAAAGATGCCCCTTCCCCGTTCGCTGTTGCAGCTGCCTCCCAGGAGGCCTTGCGGGGTGGGCGAGGCCAGGGTGTGTCCACGGTGACCCCGCCCCCTGGGGCTGGGCCCCTCCCTGGGGGCTGCCCAGCTGTTTTGCTGAAAAGTCAATTAAAACATCTGTGCTTACCCTTCTCCAATTACATTCCCTCTTGCTTAAGGACAAAGCGAATCAAACCATTCTGCCGCCTCAGGCTCCAAACCAAATTTTGTACACAAATTTATTAGCGTCATAAAGCCAGGTTGATTTATGTGGCAATCTGGAGCTGACAGCCACAGAGTCGGGCAGCCACAGTCCCGGAAGGAAGTGGCCCGAGGTGACCACGTCACTGATGGCAAACCAGGGCCCTTCACCCCTGCCGGTCTGGCTCCTTTGCTCCTTGCTGCTTGCCTAGCGTCTGTCCTGCTGGAGGTCAGATGGGGTCAGCACCCTCTCTGCTGCTGATGGCCGCGGGGGACGGGGGCCGAGGGCCTGACAGCTGGCCGGTCCCCAGGTGCTCACCTTGCCCATCCAGCACGTTCGGCTGTGTTGACACCCGCTTAGGGAGGTGGGCAAGTGGGGTGATGGCTTCTAGTCTACAGAGGGCCCTGGGGCCGGTGGTGGGGAAGCTAGAAGAGGATGCCAGCCCAACCTGGCTCAGGTTCAAGTTGTTGCTGAGGAGGAGAACATAAACTCAGTGGCCCCAACCCTATGCCATTCACCTGCCCTGCCTGCCCCAGACTGGCCCCGAGGGCAGGCCAGGGCAAGGTGGGAGTCAGCCTACTCTGTCTGTTCCCTGCAAAAGTGCTGAGCCTCGTGCCAGCAGCTCCTGGCTATGCCCTCACCTGAGGCCAGAGAGGCGACTGCGGGCTTACAGATGGGGCATATGGCAGGTGACAGGCCAGGAGGCACTGCCAAGTGGTGGGGGTGGGCAGCAGGCACCTTGCCAGGCCCTCAGCCACACAGCTGTTCTTGCCAAAACGGGGGCCAGGAACAGCCTCAGCAACAGGCAGAGGCCAGTGTCAGGGTGGGGGAGGGCAGGGGCAGCCCCCACCTCCCGGGGAACCAGCCCAGGGGGGAGAGCCAGCAGTGTGTATGGCCCTGGGCCAGTGAAGGCTGAAACCACACCTCTTGAGAGACCCCACCCCTAATCGGGACTAACACCTGGCTCTTCCAAAACCAGGATCCAGAGCTGCAGGTGAGAGCTGTAGGATCCCGCCTCCCCAGGCCTGGGACTCGTGGTGTAGACTGCACAAAGGGGGAAGTGACATCTCCTGAGTGCCTGGTGTGTTCCAGGCATGGCACTGGGCACTCCCCTTGTGGACCTTAGCGGCATAACTTGCAGGTTGAGTGGAGACCAAGAAATCGGACCTGCCACTTGCAGGCAGCAACCCCCAAGCTCTCCTCCTGTCCTTTACCTGCATCCCTGACCCGTATGGGAGCTGAAGTCCTGAGCTTAGCGCCTGGCACAGAAGTGCTCAGAAAGCTCTTACGCTGTACTGACTCCCAGTTCCCTTGTCCTCACCAGACATACTGCACATGTAGCCATGTCCCTCTAGACTCATCAAAGACCCCTGGTCTGGGTCCTCAGGCACCTAGTTGGTTTCACAGCCGCCTAGTGAGTCAAGTGTCTTGTTGGCAGTTGCCTGCCATGATTCAGAAACAGGAAATGCACTTGAATTCTTCAGGGCTCTGGGGAGGGGGGAGTCTCTGGCTCCCCAACTTCCCCTGCAAACTGAAGGGCAGCCTTCCCCCTTCACAGCGCCAGACTCAGCCCAGGCTGGGGAGTTCTGGAGCCAAGACGGAACCAAAGCTCAGGTATCCTGACCGAAGCCATCTTGCCCACCCCTCTCTAAGCTCCGTGCCCTCTTGCCCACACTTGGGCCCCAGGAAAGAGGAGGTGTAGAGGATGAGCCCCTCAGTTAAGACAGAGGAAGAAACGCAGTGACCAGGGCAGCGGGAGAGAGCAGAGTGAGACCATGGGAAATGTCTGCAGCTGAGACGTGACCAAATGCCTCCCTCCCCGTGTGTCCCATCAAAAGAAAAACAGCATTTGGGTGTCTGGGTTCAGCCGGCTGTTTGCTACCCAGTCATACCCTGCTTTACGATGACTGAACATAACATTGGCCTTGCTGCGCTCACCCACACAGCCGGCTCCCTGAGCCCCTGCCAGGCTTTCTGCCCTCCCCTGGATGATGAAGGACGTTCTCTAGTCCTCCCACAGAGGGGCAGCAGGCATCTGAACCTGCAGAAGGCACCCTTCCTGCCCCCACTCCCCCCCTAAGACTCGCTTCTCCCCAGAATACATTCCTAGACAAGGAGCCAGGCAGCCAGGAGCCTGGCCCTGGGAGCGGGACAGGCCCCTCCTTAGAGCCAGCCAGCAGCAGGCTCAGCCCCACATGTGGTTCTTAATTATCTTTCCAGTTCTTGGTTATTAATGATCTTGGGCAGGGAGCGGAGAGCAGCTTGGACCTCGCAACCCCTCCCAGCCTCACCTACTGCAGCCTGCTCAGATCCAGGGGCAGGTGCTCAGATCCAGGGGCTGGTGGCCAATGCTTAACCCTCTCACCTCCACAGGCTGAGCCCTTCCACGGCACGGGCCTCTAGCACTCACTTCAACCCACATTCACCACCTGTTGTGGAGCTCCCAGATTCTGGATCTGAACCTGTGAAAAGCCATGGGGCAGAGAAAGTGAAACTGACTCTAATGGATGGGGGCCCCCTAAACTGGTGGTGGTCAGGCACTCCAGCTGGGAGTGGAGGGGTATTAGAAATTTCCCCCACTCTACTATTTCGGCTGCCGTTACCCCTAAAGCCAAACCAAAAATATTTCCAGTTTTCGTGGCTCCAGTCCCAGGCAGTGGACTATTTGGAGGCTCGTGAGGGAGCCCAGCCTCCCGGAAGCCAGCAAGGAGGAGTGGTGAGGGTGAGGGCCCGGGGCAGCGGCTGCACACGGTACTGGCATCCAGCACCACCCTCCCTGGCCTCCTCCCCACGACACGGAGTTAGTTGCCGCCCTGCTTCACCCAGACTGTCCGGACAGAAAGGCCACAGGCTTCACACACTCACGGTCAGAAAAGCTCTGCTGTCACCGGCATTTGCAGAATGGATGGAAGAAAGAATTCTGGCTTCAGTCATTGTGGGGCTAAATGTAATCACAGATGTGAAAGCACTGAAAACGGTGCTCAAGAGCCATCTTTTTAGATGGTTCACAGCCAATGACATGAGGCAGAGGAAGGAGGTGGGACTGGGAGCCCCCCAGGCAGGACAAAGAACTGAGATGTGGGACAGAATCTCTGACCTGGGGGTCCTCCCAGCCCCAGAAGTCCTGGCACCAATGAAGCTGAGCTGTGCCTGACCCCAGAAGCCCACCCGTGCCAGGCTTCCAGAACCGGCAGGCAGTCTGAGCCCAGCACAGCCACCATGGAGCGAATACCGCTGGCCAGGAAAGCCCAGCAGTTTCCCCAGACAGACCTCCCCCCACCATCTGCACCATGACATTGTCAGGCTTCCATCAGGGCCCCTGGCAGGGCAGGGCACCCACAGCCCCCTGGTGTGAGTCCTTGTTTTCAAGGACACTGAAGGATGAATGCCATCCATCAACCACCAGAGCCCCCTGCTGAGCACATTTGTCATTTTTGGCACCAGGGTGGGAGGGAGCTGACACTGTAAACCAAGTGGCTTCTGCCCGGAGTCTTCGCTCAGCCTCACTTCCTGGGTACTCCCACCCCGGGAGCTGCCCACCTGCTGTAGCCAGGCACCTCACCTGGGATACTCCCATGATGCTCCTCTCGCCTAAAGGCTGCCCTGTGCCCCCCTCTGGGGAGGCAGAATGAGGCAGTCAGGGCCAGTGGGTTGTAAAAGGTTGGTTTAATGTCCCAGCACTCTGAGAAAATAAACTCCAGCCAGATGGAACAAGAAACACGTCAGCCCTGCCCCAACCCCAAGTTCCAGCTTCCATGCCTCCCACACCAAGCCCCCAGCAGCGAAGACCAGGGACTGGCTCATGGCACAGGAGGGAGACCCCACTGCTCCCCCCGTGACTCCAGGCCAGGTGGGAAGGGATTTGCATAAGAAGATAGCAGAAGCCCAACCCGCAACAGGACTGCGGCCGCTGAGGTCACCGGGCTGACCATGAAGATATCATCTGTCACTCGGTTGGATTTCAAGACGGAAGCCAGGAAGGCTGGAGACCACCTGCCCTCTAACTGCTGGCAGCGCCAGGCAGAGGATCCAGCTGAACAGGAACCAGAGGACCTGAGCCCTCAGACTTCTGACTCCAAGCTGGAGATCCGCCTCCAGGTGCAAGGCCGCGGAAAGTCGTGTGTCCCACAGGCCGCCCTGCTGACCCCTTCCAGTTCCCCACTGTCGCTGTATTCTGGGCTCAGCCCCAGGGTCCTGTGCCTGTGCCCTGGAGGCCCCCAGGCCCCAGGGAGCCAGGGGCCATGGGCAGCACAGGGTGGGAGGTGAGGGCAGACAACCCCCCAGCAGAGCGGCAGGTGGGCATGGGCGTGGAGGCAGGCGTGCTGTCTGTGCGGCCAGGCGGGGGGCCCGGCCCACAGCCCGTCCTGGCAGGCCTCGCGGTAAGACGGCAGCCGCATGGACTGCGCGGGTATCAAGCGCCCGCAGGCCGTGCGGGCACAGCGGGCGGGCCCGGAACTGGGCCGAGTGAAGGCTTCGGCCACTGAGCTGGGCAGGGAAGCGTGGCGCGGGCGCGACCCCCGGGCCCATGCGGCGCGCAGGAGGGCCTCCCGCCGGGCCAGCTGCTCCGGCCCGAGCAGCGGCAGGTCCTCGGGCTCCGGGGGCTCCGAGAAGAGCGGCAGGAAGGGGCGTCCGCACCGGTCGGCGCGAGGGAAGGAGCTGTAATGGCCGCGCTCGGGAGACAGGGGACGCTCCGGGTGCGCACGCCGCTCGGAGGCCGAGAAGCACCGCCCGCGCCGCCCGGGCCGCAGCGGCCACCGCGCCTCCTACAGCCGCCCCAGCTCTCGATGGTGCGCGTGGCGCGGTCCAGGGAGCTGCTCACCCCCGCCGTGGTCACCATGTCGCGCGCCGCCTGCAGCATCTTGAGCACGCTGGCCTGGGCCGAGCCGGCGGTGAGGTCCGGGCTGGGCGGGCGCGCGGGACTGGCAAGGCTCTGCACGCCGCTGAAGCAGCTGTAGATGCCCTGGGCGGAGGGAGGGGGTAGACCCGCCGTGAGCCGCGCCCTGCCCTCCCGGACCGCCCCCACGCCGCACGCCCTTCGCCCAGGTGGGATCCAGCAACTCAGGCATTTCTAAGTCCCAGGAAGAAACTAACATTTGTTAGGCGCCTCTTACTTATATAAGGTCCCGCTGGGAGCGTTTACAGAAAAGCTCTGAGGCGCCAAGAGATGAACTCCTCTTAAACTCACACCGCTTGTAAATGGCAGTGAGGGTCTGAACCCAGGTCAGCCTGGTTCCAGAGTCCTACCCTGCCTGTTGGAGAAGGGCTCTGCTTCTCATCTGCAGCGTGATGCTGGCAGGCCAGGCCACCTCTCTGGACCTCAGCTTTTTACATCTGTAAAAGGGGCCAGGGGCCAGCTGGGTTGGTGACTGGCTGGGGCAGGGCGGACACCCACCCTGCTGAAGGCCAGCAGGAAGTCCAGCCGGGACGTGTTGGGCACGGAGTGGCGCAGCTTCCAGTAGACCAGGTGCTCCCAGGCGAAGACCAACAGGGCCAGCCCCATGGCCACAAGCAGCATATAGAAGACGCCCGCCATGTTGTCGATGTCCAGCTTGCTGCTCATCACCTCGTTCTTCTCATTCTGGCAGATCCCCGAGAGCCACACCGTCTCCAGCTTCTGGGTCTCCCCTGGGGGCGGGGGTGGGTGCACATCTGGCTCAGGGAGGACCCTTCCAGCTCTCACCTATGCCTGGAGTGAGGAGGGGTCTGGGGCCAGGGTACCACCCACCTGTAGGACTACACAGGGATCCAGCCCTACAGGGAGGATGGGGGGAAGGGTGTCAATAAGCAGGACGGAGGAGACCAGAGTGGGACCTGGGGGCAATGCCAGCCTCTGACACGCTCACCTCCCACATGCCCAGTAAAGGCTTGCTGACTGGGTAAATGTTATCATTCATTTATTCGTCAAAGACTTATTGATCACTTGCATGCCAGGCATGGAGCTGGGCACACACAGACAAAAGACCTAGGCCCCCAAGGAGGCTGCAAACACCTTCACTGGTATCACTCAGATTACTCGGCAGTAATGATGGAAAACCAGTTTCTTTATCTAACTGGGACGCTAAATTCAAAGCTCCGGAGCAGCCTAGCTGGACTGCTCAAGGGTGTGAGTTCTCAGTACCAAGGCCAGCCTGGGCCGGGGCTCTGGAATTAGGCTGGCTCTTGGCACCACCCCCAGGTCATCTCAAGATGGGAATGGAGAGAATTCCCTGACTGTCCAGTGATTAGGACTCCATGCTTCCACTGCAGGGGGCACAGGTTCAATCCCTGGTCAGGGAACTAAGATCTCACATATCCCAAGGTGCAGCCAAAATAATAAATAAAAGATAGCTGTTGTTTAAAAAAAAAATGGAAATGGAGGGGAGGGGTCTTGGGAAAAAGTAAAGGAGTTCAGACTCCCCACCCCACCCCCCGCTGTGTGGTCTGAGCTCCCTCCTTCAGGGACTCCCCGACTATTCCCTGCTCCCTCCTGGCCAACTCAGGTCTCCCTCCAGTTGTTCCTAATGCCCCTACCCAACTACTGTGCCAGCCTCCCACCCCCAGAGCCTCTCTCCCTGCCAGCGGGCGCTGGGCACTCAGAGGACAGCGGTGGAGATGCTGACCAGCCACCACGCAGCTGTCCCGGCCACAGGCTTTGTCAACCACTCGGGACCCACCCCGGCCCCCACCAGAGGCTGCACCCACCATCTCCCAGGAACTGTAGGAGCGCCAGGTCTATGGCCCGCTTCCAGTGGGAGTCCTTCTGCATGGCGATGCCATAGCCGGTGGTGGCAAAGACCTTGCCAGAGCCGATGGTGACCAGCTTGCAGCCCTCGTCCTTGCCCGCCATGTAGTTGAGGACAGCGGCGTCATAGATGAAGGCATCCAGCTTCCTGGGGAACAGGCTGAGCCCTCAGGCCAGTGATCAAGCAAGGTGCAGGGCACCGAACCCGGGGCCTGATGGGGATCTGGGCCACGTGAGCCCACTGGCCACCACCCGGGGGGAGGTGGGGAATGGGCAGAGCCTTCTCTTCCCTGGGGTCCTGGATGCAGAGAAGCTCCCTCCCACGGCTTGGGAACCCCACCTCCCTCCTCTTCAGAGAGGCCAGGGGGCTCTCTGCCCCTGGAGGACCCACCCTCTCTGCCCTCCAGGCCCCTGAAGACCCTGAGAAGGTCGTAACCAGCACTTGGGGGCAAGGCTGAACCCTGGTCAGTACCACAGCTGCGCCCCTGGGCTCTGGTGGGCTGTCCATTTTTGTCTCACTCTGCCCCTCCCCAGGAGTCCTACAGGGCAACCCAGTCTCACCGTCCCCACCTTGGGTCTCTCGGGGAGACACGTGGGTAGAGACAGTCAGAGGCGGGGTGCAGGGCTGCAGACCCACCCCATCTTGAGGCTGGTCAGCGCGTCCTCCACCGAGCGCTGGTTGAACTTGACCATGTGGGTGTGCATGTCGCGGTAGTTGCTGCGGATGTTCCGCTCCGTGCTGCCGTTGGGCACGGTGCCAAAGCGGAAGGGTGGGTACTGATCCTGTGGCCGCTGGAACTGGGAGCAGAGGGCGGCTGTCGGTATCCCTAACCCTTCCTCTGACCTTCCAGGCGCCAACACCCCCAACTCCATCCCCGCAGCCTGGACTTGCCCAGGAATGGCAGAACTGTCTTAGAGACCGACTGCGCCAGGTCTGTCTTACAGACGAGGACACGGAGGCCAGGACAAGGAAAGATGCACTCAAGACATACTAAGCGGACTGAAGCATCTCTCCCCTCCCCAGGCTCCCTGGCTTCTTCCTGCTCTCTCCTCCAGTTCAGATTCTGCTGATTCCAGCTGTCCTGCGTCCCACCCAAGGCCTGCCCCTGCCTGCCTGCCCGCGGCATCCCCCGCCCCGCCACCCTCCAACAGCAGGGGCTCCAGAACCTTCTTATCACTGAGTCCAGACACGGTGTCGATGTACTGCTCCTGGATCATGAAGGCGGCCAGGTTGGCGGTGTAGCTGGCAAGGAAGATGACGGCAAAGAAGGCCCACACCAGCACCATGATCTTGCTGGTGGTGCCCCGGGGGTTCTCGATGGGCACCGAGTTGTTGAAGACCAGCGCCCAGAGCAGCCACACGGACTTGCCGATGGTGAAGGATGGGCCCCCCGACCCTGGGGGCAAGAGGGCAGACACTGAGGCACAGAGGGCATCAGGTCCAGCCCACCTGAGTCCACGGCTCCTGTCTCCACTAACCCCATCCCTGGCCATCCCCACCCCAGAGCACATCAACTCACTTTGCTTCCCCCTCTCATGTATCTGATGGGGCCCCTGCATGTTTTCTGAAGGCCAGGAACCCCCCCAGGGGGCATTCTCTGAAAGGCTCCCCCCACCCCACTGCCCCATCCTCTCACACTCTAACCTCCCCCTCAACCCCTCCACCCGTAGTCCTGAGCCCACCCCTCCAGGAAGCTCCAAGCCTGCTCCGTCCTCCCAGGCCCAAGTGGGAACTTACTCTTGCCGCTGGTGAGGTTCTGGTTGTAGCTGACGGGGCTGAAGTACTCAAACATGAAGACAGTGATGGCCACGACTGTCAGGCACATGACAAACATCATGACCCACACGGCAGGGCTGTAGGGCTCTGGGAACAGAGGGAGGCGGCTCAGAGGAGGCCTGGGTGCAGGCAGGTGGGTCCACGTGGTCACCAGCCCCTTGGATAGAGCGGAGGGGGTCTCTGACTCTCAGAGCAGCGGAGCCCCAGGGGAGACACCACCCCTGGGGAGACCACGCTCCCCAGCAAGCTTTGGTCTCCCCTCTCCATCTGCCCTGGGACAGGGTCCTATCACCCAGTGCTTGCCCTCCAAGGGCCCACCCCAGGCTCCACACATCCACCTGGGGGTCCCTCCGCACCACCCTCGCCCCCCACCCCGCCGCGAGCCGCACCCAGGAAGGCCGAGGGGGAGACGGTGCCGTTGCTGCGGGCCACCATCACGCTGATGCCTGTCTCCACGAAGGGCACGGAGAAGTCCACAATCTCGGAGCGTTCCTCGTTGATGGTGAGGGAGCCGATGGCCATGTCTGCCCGCTTGTAGTACACCTGAGGGTCAGACCCAGATCGGAGGAGGAGCTCCCTCTCCCTTCCTGGTCCCCTCGGCCAGCACCCTCCACCCGAGTCCTCAGAGCTCTACCCCCGGGAGTCATCACTGGTGCCAACACAGTACCCATGCCAGCTCGGAGACCCGTGGGAGATGGGCCTGGGTCTCACCCCGACAGATCCCCAGCACAGGAGGAAACACTGAACGGACCATCTGGGGGTGGCTGGCAGATGTCGGGGCGGGGGGCGCCGGGCAGGCAGGCGAGTGGGCTCGGGCGGCCTGGGGGCGGCCTACCTCCCCGATCATGCCGTTCCACACGCCGCGCACCCGTTTGCCATGCTTGCCGTTGGTCACCAGGTACAGGTCGTAGGAGAACTTGACCACCTTGGCCAGCTTCTTGAGGATGTCGATGCAGAAGCCCTTACAGCACAGCTTGGTGTAGGGGGCTGTGTCCCCGCTGCTGCCACCAAGAAGACCAGCGGGGGTCAGAGCCAGCGGCTCTCGCAGCCTGGCGTGTGGGCCCTGCCCCGACTCCCGAGCGTGAGACACACTCTCCCGCCATCCCTCAGCAGCGCACCGCTCACGTCGCCCCCTCCCCGCGCCCGTGTGTCCTGGCGGACCTGAAGCTGTGGTTGCTCTGCCGGCGGCAGGGCACAGTGTTGGGCACGCAGCCGCCTGTGCCAGGGTCGGGGCTCTCCACGATGACAAAGGGTCGCTCCTCCAGCGTGGCCACGGTCAGGTGCCGGCTGTCCACCACAGGCTGCAGGGAGGCACTGTAGCGAGGCCACACGGGGTACTTCATGTGGAGGATGCCGTGGTCCCAGCGCCCCACCTGCAGAAGGTGACCGGCCTCAGCCTGGGACCTTCAGCCCTACTACACCCATCCGGTAGGTATGGCTTCTTGGGGGGAGCCTGCCAGGACCAAGAATCCCCCCAGCACTCCTAGGGTCACCTGGGACAGGCCAGAGCAGGGCCTGGGGTGAGAGAGTTTGGAGAACAGGAGAGTCAGGGCAAAGGGCTGGGCATGCCCAGAAGGGAAGACCTCCCTGCAGCCTCCCCGGCCTCTGGTCCCCACATTTTTCAGTCCAGCTTCCACACTGCTGCTGGCCCAGAGAGTCTTCCTAAAGCCCAGACCTGAGCCTGTCTCTCCACGTCATTCCCCAGACCCTCACACAAAGCCCTTAGTCCAGCACTCAGGTTCAACTTCACACTCAGGTTCAACTTCCATCACCTCTTCCTTCTTCCGCAGTTTCCACACCCCTGAACACATCGATTAAAAATGCTCCACATCCTTCTTCCCCTTGGTCTATATGAGACTAGTATCCCTTCCAGGTGGGCTCCTACTCAACTGTCTATCAGTTCAGTTCAGTCGCTCAGTCGTGTCCGACTCTTTGCGACCCCATGAATCGCAGCACGCCAGGCCTCCCTGTCCATCACCAACTCCCGGAGTTTACTCAAACTCATGTCCATCAAGTCAGTGATGCCATCCAGCCATCTCATCCTCTGTCGTCCCCTTCTCCTCCTGCCCCCAATCCCTCCCAGCATCAGGGTCTTTTCCAATAAGTCAACTCTTCGCATGAGGTGACCAAAGTATTGGAGTTTCAGCTTCAGCATCAGTCCTTCCAATGAACACCCAGGACTGATCTCCTTTAGGATGGACTGGATGGATCTCCTTGCAGTCCAAGGGACTCTCAAGAGTCTTCTCCAACACCACAGTTCAAAAGCATCAATTCTTTGGCATTCAGCTTTCTTCACAGTCCAACTCTCACATCCATACATGACCACTAGAAAAACCATAGCCTTGACCAGACGGACCTTTGTTGGCAAAGTAACGTCTCTGCTTTTTAATATGCTGTCTAGGTTGGTCATAACTTTCCTTCCAAGGAGTAAGCATCTTTTAATTTCAAGGCTGCAATCACCATCTGCAGTGATTTTGGAGCCCAGAAAAATAAAGTCAGCCACTGTTTCCACTGTCTCCCCATCTATTTCCCATGAATTGATGGGACCAGATGCCATTATCTTAGTTTTCTGAATGTTGAGCGTTAAGCCAACTTTTTCACTCTCCTCTTTCACTTTCATCAAGAGGCTTTTTAGTTCCTCTTCACTTTCTGCCATAAGAGTGGTGTCTATAGCCCAGGCCAAATGTTCCAACTTCTGGGAAAACTTCTCCAGTTTCCTCCTTTGAAGACAGAATCAATTTCTGCCCCTCCTCTCTACTCCCTTAATGCTTTGCAAACCTTCTTTCATAAGCAAGGATCTCCCCAAAGTCTATTTTTTTCCATCCATCTAGCCAACACGGCTATGAGTTACTCCTCCAAGGGCAGGACTGTGTAATAAGAGTGCTTAATAAGTTCTATAGTGGAAGGAGGCCAGGGTGGTGTGGGAGCCTGGAGCAGAGGAGCCTCACCCACCCTGGGGGACCTGGAGGCTTCTCAGTGGTGATGTTTCAGCTGAGACCTGAAGGATGAGGGGCTGGATAAGGGGCAGATGGGACTCTCTGCTCAGCTGTGGGGCAAGGACGGGGGACACAATGAAAAGATACCGAGGGCCCCTGGGCTCACCCCCTTCTCACCATCTCCCAGAGGCGGTGCCGGTTGAGGGCAATCACCACCATGGTGGGCTGGACCAGGTACCCACCAGGGCTGAAGGAAAAGTCCCGGCCCTCCCAGGTGACATTCAGGAGGTGCCTGCGAGGAGGGGAGAAGCCAGTGCCCCCTAAGCCCTGCCTGCAGCAGGGCCCAGGCCCGCACGTTCCCTCCCCCATCTCCTGCCTCATCACCACCACCAGGACCAGGGAGCATTTGTGTATTTACTGCTCTGTTTCCTTATGTTGACCCCCGAGGTCCTCCCCACACTCTCACGCCCCGCTCTTTTCTCAGATGAAGAAACTAAGGCCCAGGGAGGTGAGGTCACTCGGCCCCAGCTCACACAGCTCGTGGGAGGTGTCACAGGCAAGCCCAAACTCACGCCCATGCCCTGGGCAGGTGCCTACCTGTAGAAGGCCTCCCGGGCAGGGCTGAGGGGCCCAGGGTGGGCGCGGCAGTCCCCAGCCGGGGCGGGCAGGGCGCCGTGCTGGCGCCGGTAGCCGTGGGCGCCCAGGGCCAGGATGGCCACGCCGTCTCGGACCTTCTGGCGCAGGCTGAGGCGCCAGCTCTCGGTGACGACGCTGATGAGGCCCACGGGGAAGGCGGCAGGGGGCGTGTCGGTGCTGCCCAGCGCCAGGCTGGGCACCAGCCACACGTGCCCAGGCCCCACCAGGCCAGCCTGCGCCGCCTCAGCGAAGAGCACCTCGGCCTCCTCGCGCGAGCAGTAGGCCACCAGCACGGGGGCGTCGAGCTGGCGCAGCAGGCGCTGGGTGTGCGCGCGCGCCCCGCCAGGGCCCAGCTCCAGCGTAAGCACGTCCAGCAGCCGCCAGCTCAGGTAGCTGGCGTCGGCGACGGCGCGCACGCCCTCGAGGAAGAGCGCGTGGCCGGGGTGCAGGCTGGTGATCACGGCGAAGGCGCTCCAGTCGTACTCCTCCAGAACCTTGAACAGCACCTGCAGCTGCTGCTCCAGGGACACGCCCAGCTGCAGGAAGGCGGAGCCCGGTTCCTGCGGGACGGGGGCGGGGCCTGAGCGGGGCGGGGCGGCCGTGCCCCGCCCCTGCGTTAAACCCCGCCCCTCGGTTAACCCCGCCCCCACGCCTCTGCGTCGGAAGATGCCGGGCACCCCGGCATCCCTTCATCCCTCCGTCCGGTCCTGCGCGTAGTTCTCAGCCTCTGCTGCCCATGATAATCCCCTGGAGAGCATTTTTAAAACCCTGGTGCCTGACCAAGTCTGGACCGCAGACTGGCAGCAGCAGCGTCACCTGGGCGCTTGTAGGAAATGTAAATTCTCTGGGGCAATGCACACCTGCTGGGTCAGACTCTCTAAGGATGGCGCCCAGGGATCTGTATTTCAACAAACTTCAGATAACTCTAGAGCCCCTAGGCCCGTTCAACTGAATGGGCCTCTCAGAAACGGTACACTAGGCATCTGTATTATTCTACAGAACTGTGAGAGTGGAGAGTCACCCGCGCTGAGAGACAATGTCAGGCCCAGAGGCAACTGGGAAAGCTCCATCCTCTAGGGAGCCCTGGCGATGAGAAGGTTCCTCCTCTCCCCTGCCTCGGCCACCACAAAGCGCCCTGGCCCCGCCAGATCTAGCCTGTACTAGGGCAGTCCTCTCCAAGCTGTGGGTTTCCTGCTGCCGCCCCGCCCCATCACAATTTCACCACTCTGCGACTCTCCCAATCTTTTAAAAAAGCAACTCCATGAAAACCCTATAAGACAAGCAAACCAGTCCCTTCAACAAACAACCTTACAAGGAAAAAAGAGAGAGGTGGAAGAGGAGACTTGAGACGGAGACTCGGAAGTGGTACCAACTGATCACTATGTGGGACTCTAGTTTGGCTCCTGCTTCAAGTGAACAGACTTTAACATACACATTTATGACGTTTATGAGACAATGGGGGAAGATTTGAACACTGCCTGGAAGTGTTTTGCTGTTAAGGGATTTTTATTGTTTCATAGATGGGATGATGTATGGTGGTTTTATTACTTTGTAAAGTCCTATCGTCTAGAGTTGTGTACTGAGCTGTTTATGGATGAGATAAATAGTACATATGGGTTTTGCTTCAAAATAATACGGAAGAAGGGAAAGTGGGTGGGGGTAAGGATAAGGCATGGTCGGCCTGGGGGTTACCTGGGATCATTAAACTCTTCTATTTTTATGTATGCTTAAAAATTCCCCATAATAAAAATATAAGCATAAAAGACAGGCAAATAGATCAGTTTCTCCTCTCAACACCATCAGCTCACTTTCTAGGGTAAAACCCAAACGTCTTCCCATGTGGTTGAGACCTCACCTCCCCCTCCAGGCTTCTCTCTGTTCCTCAAATACTCTGCTGCTTCTAGCCTCTGAGCATTTGCGCTACTGTGAACTGCCTGGAACTGCTCCCTTGGCCTAGGACACTCACTCCCACTCCACCCCACACACACACAACTTGTCAACCCCCCTCATCCTCCAGGTCTCAGCTTAGGTGTCACTTCTTGTTTTCTCAAGAGACCTTCTTCTCTGACCAGCCCCCGACCCAGAAGGGGCCCTGTTGGGCTCCCTCGAGGCACCCCGTGTTTTTACTTCCAGACGCTGATCCCAGCTGTGACTGCAGGTGAAGGTATCTTTAGAACTTTCTCCCCCCAGGACAGACAGTGAGGGCATGCCTCCCCCAGGTCTCAGAGGTGACCTGCCCCCACAAGTTCCAGCCTGCAGGCCAGCTGCTTCAGATCCCATGCCCAGCCTGGCACTTTGATCTGGGGTCTGAAGCCTGACCAAGGAAGGCCAGAAAAACAGGGAGAAGGTGAGCCAGGGCTGTCTCAGAACCAGAGGTGGGTTTTCCACCTGCCCACCCCTCATCCAGTCACAAATGCGATGTGAAAGCAGCTCAGAAAGTTTATCTTCCAGAACATAGAGCCATCATTCCCACAGCCTTCCCCTCCCTCACCCATGTCTCCCTCAGTCCCCACATGCTTGCTGGGCCCACCCAATCCCACCTTCCTGGGACCCAAGCATCAACCTGGCCCAGACTCAGCCCACAGACCCAGCCCCAGCCTGGCTCCAAGCTCAAGGGATGGGAAGACATGACTTTGAACGGGCACCTTGGGGGTGAGGACCACAGCAGAGCCCCCACTGATGCTGAGGATCGGCACGTGGGTCTGGGAGGAGATGAAGTCCAGGATCTGGGCCACGGCCTCGGTGCCCACGTTGTCCTCAAAGACGATGCCATGGACCCGGGCAGCCCCCAGGAGCCCGCAGATCTGGGTGAGAAGACTGCTGGGGTTGGTGTTGTTGACGCCCACGGTCAGCGGCTGGATCTCCAGGGGCAAGTCCAGGAAGCTCTGGGGGGTGAGGTGGGTACGGGCCTGGGCCTGCGGGGACCCCGAGCTGCCAAACACCACGGCCACCGTCACAGTCTGCTCTCCCTGCCCAGGGCCCAGCCCTGCCCAGGCCCCGAGGAGTGAGGTAAGCAGCAGGGCCGGGCCCAGGGCCACCCCCATGTCCGCCGGAGAGTCCTGCGGAGAGAACAGGGTAGGCACAGGCAGGGAGACGGAGGCATGGAGAAAAAACAAGAAGGACAGAGAGGAGGCGAGAGCCAGAGTCAGAGGGACAGACACCCAGAGGATGAAAGAGAAGAGGGAGGAGCCTCCCTCCACAGACAGAGGCGGACAGACACAGACAGACACAGAGAAAGAGGCAGAGAGGTTAGCTGAGTGTCCACATGCAGCCTGGAGACCGGGGTCTGGGCAGAACGTGGCCTGGACGGGTATTCTTAACTTCCCTTCTGCTGTCGAACAGCACGCTTGGCTAGAAAGGCCAGACCTTTGAAACTTATCTGTCTGGGCTCTGCCCCAGGAAGGTACACATCAAAAGCTAATCTGGTACCAAGTGCATGGATTTGAGTCAGGGAGACCTGAGTTCAGGTCCCAGTTCTGCCACTCACTGACTGTGTGATCTTGGGGAAGTTGCTTAGCCTCTCTGAGCCATGACTTCTTGCCTGCAATAATCACAGGGCTACATCATAGCAGTGGGAGGGCTACCCACTGTTACCGGCATCCTTATTTTCTAGGTGACAGCCCCATAGTCAGGTGAAGGAAGGCAGCTCTTGTAACACACACACACACACACACACACACCTTCTGCATCTTAAGCTGAATCTAACATCCCTGAGGACCCTGCTGTGTGTAACCCTGCCTGGCACAAAGCCCCCTCCTTCTGGGCTCTGGACATCCTACCCTTCCCTCTGTGGCTTCAATTAGTAGCAGCTCTTCCACAGCAGGAGTGTGACCCCGCTGAGTTTTTCAGGGTTTGGGGTCATCTGCAGTCCCCACAGTATCTCACACATGAGTTGCCTCCCTGGGCCATCGCTGGTGTGAGGGATTTTTTAAACCTACCCCAAGGGCCTGATGTGTATCCTCGTGAAACAAGCATCACTGCTTTGGATTGGGACCAACAGCCACACCGCTGAGTGGCGTGCAGGGAGGCAGTTCTCCCTCCCTGCTGGCCCTCAGCCACAGCTTTGCCACCCTCTCCATCTCCATCACTTCCCCGATGAAACTTCTGAACGGAGAGGGCCAAAGGGTGACCGGGCTGGGCCAGCTTTCATTTCAGAATGAGAAGACAGGATTTTTGGCAGGAGAGGGAATACTGTACTTGTTTTTGTGCCCTTGAAATCTCCCCCTGTGTAGGGTTTCCCAGTACACTGAGAACGTCAGCCCGGAGAGACTTCCCTGGTGGTCCAGTAACTAAGATTCTACGCTCCCGATGTAGGGGGCCTGGGTTCGATCCCTAGTCGGGGAACTAAATCCCACATGCCATGACTAGGAGTTTGCATGCCGCGACTAAAGATCCTGAATGCTGCAAAGAAGATCAAAGACCCCACGTGTCACAACTAAGACCCAGCACAGTGGAATAAATAAATAAAAAGAATGTCAGCCTGGAGACGTGTGTGACTCTAGGATAGGGACATAAGCCCACCATGTCCACTGCTACCTTCAATCAGAGATTTGAATCACACCAGCAAAGGACACTGTCATGCTCCTTTCTCCTTTGCAAGCTCTCTGTGCTCAGCTGCCCATCTCTGGGAAGCCTGAAGCCTCCCCCGTTTCTGCCTCCCAGCTCTGAGTTCCGGACCCGTGCTGTCAAATATAGCAGCCACCAGCCATGTGTGATTATCAGGCCCTTAAATGAGGCCCATCCCAACTGAGGTAAGCCGTAGGTGTAAAATACACACTGGATAACAAAAACTCCTCTTACAAAAAGAACACATCTCATTAATATTTTTATATTGATCACATGTTGAAGAAATATTTTAGATACATTGATTCAGACACAATATAGTGGTAGAATTCATTTCACTTCCTTTTCCTTTTTCTCTAATGTGCCTACATGTGGTTCTCATTTTGTTTCTTTCCGACTACGTGGCTGTAGATGAAGGACCCAGGTCCTCCCTCAGCTCCGAGGGGGCACTGCCCCCAGAGGCTGTCTCAGATGGGAAGGTGTCCTCCAGGGCTGGAGTTGGCGAGGAGAGGAAGCTGGGGCAGGTTTTGCCTCTCCCCAGGAGTGATCACAGAATGCCTGTGGACGGAGGGACCCCAATCAAGGCAGTCCCCAGGCTTCAAAGAGCAATGGGAAAGGCTTCCCATTTGGCACAGTGCTCAAGAATCCGTCTGCCAGTGCAGGAGACACAAGAGACACGGGTTTGCTCTCTGGGTCGGGAAGATCCCCTGGAGGAGGGAAACGGCAATCTACTCCAGTACTCTTGCCTGGAGAATCCCATGGCCAGAGGAGCCTGGCAGGCTACAGTCCACGGGGTCACAGAGTCAGATACGACTAAGTGACCGAGCACGCATGCGTGGCTGATTCTCTTCGGTGTACAGCAGAAACTAACACAGCATTGGAAAGCAATTATCGGAGATGGGAGGGGGAATCGGGATATGGGGAATACATGTAAATCCTTGGCTGATTCATGTCAGTGTATGACAAAACCACTACAATATTGTAAAGTAATTAGCCTCCAACAAATAAAAATACATGGAAAAAAAAAAAAGAAAAGCAATTATCTTCTAATTAAAAATAAATTTAAGAAACATTTTTTTAAAAAAGAGCAATGGGCAGATTCCAAGAGTCTCAGCCTCCACAGTCTCAGCACCACAGGGCATCCAGCCTCCCCAGCAAATCAGGAGGGTCAGACCTGGGCCCCAGCCTGACCCCCTCTCCCACATGTCTCCCCCTGGCCTCCCACCTCTCCGCCTCCCATCCAGCCACCGCCCCCACCTGCCCCAGTGGCCAGAAAGCCCTCTGGCCGCTGCACCCCTCCTCAGACAGCACGCCTGCTCCCTGGTGCCCGCGCACGAAGCCGGGACACCCTGGTCCCACGGACAGAGCCCGCCCGCCCCTCCGGGGACCTCCTCCTCCCTCCAGCCTGGTGGCCAGACGGCGCACTGCCTTCATCTCCAGGCCTTTGCTCTGCCGCTCCCTCGGGCTCCAGTGACCTCTTCCCTCTGCCTCTCTCGGCCACACGACAAGTTCCAGAACTTTCAGAGCCCCAGGTAAATCCCCCTGCCACAGAGCCCCTGACTTAGTACCTCGCAGCTCCGGACACACAGGTGAGGACCCAGAGGGTCTGGGTCTGGTTCCAGGCTGGTTGCCCTTCCCCCCACCACCTCCGGTCGGGGAGCTCCGGCTTTGCCTCTGGGATGGCTCCTGTCACTTCCGGATGCCCCCGCCCCGCTCTGGACTGTTGCCTTCCAGATCTCTGCCCACCCAATTGCAGTCCACACCTTTCGCAAAGGGGCTGGTAATACTTGATGAACACTCCGACCCCCCCCCCCAAAAAAATAGCCCGTGCGAGGGAGGCAATGGTCGGTCTTCCGAGACACTCAGCATCACCTTGAACGGCCCGAACACCTCCGCCTGCTTAGAGCTCTTCTCTCTCTTCCCCTGCTCCCCCAATCCCAGGCAGGCTCCCCGCACACAGACGTGCACACACTCTCCCACGCCAGACATCTGAGGGCCGTTCCCCCTCCCCCAGGCCGGGAACCTGGGTCCCCGGAGTCAGCCCCACCCACCAACCGCGCAGCTTCCGGGAGCAGCCGAGGGACCCCAGCTGCGCGGCCCGTCTGGATCCTCCGCCCACCGGTTGAGCGACCTGCCGTCGGGTTTCCCTGCCTCCCTTCTGCCGAGCGCCAGGGGAGAACCCGGACGCCAGGGGCGAAGACCACCCCTCCACCTTGCCCCCACTGTCGCGGGCACCGAGGTCTCCCTCCTGCAAGACTATCTCCCCCCACAAACCCTCGCCGCTGATTCCACTTGGACCCCCGGGGAATCTCTTACACTCGGGCTGTGAAGTTCGGGGTATTTTTAGGCCAGCGATAAATAATTCATAGGGAACGTGGCATCAGGCTCCCCCCGCGGGAGTAGGGGGCGCGAGCGGCGAGAGCCACTGTCACCCGCGGCTCAAGGACACTTGCGATGCGGCGCAGCCGACTCCGGACGCCGGGACCCGCGCCACGCCTCCTGGCGGCCAAACTGGGCACCACGCACCCCGAGCCCCCCGCCTCGCCACTGCCTTCTGCGGACCTCCCCGGCTCCTAGGTCGCCATCCCCGCTGCCCCCAAGCTGGATCGCACCCCAAGCTGGATCGCGCCCCAAGCCCCGCGGCTGGGGAGAGCCGAGCTCGCCTGGCAGGTGGGGCTGTGGGCGCCGTACCAGCTCAGTCCTGTCCTAGGGCAAATCCGGGAGTCAGGTTGCCGGTCTACTGGGTCCTCTTCACGTTAATATTCGAATTCCTAGTACCGAGTTTAGGAGCAGCTTGGAAGCTGACTGGCACAGCCAGAAACTAGACGGGCTCTGAGACAGAGCAGGCATCCCCACCCCCCAAGTTCCCTTCCTCAATTTCGGGGATGAAGCCAGGGCGGTGCGCCTTGGGGAGCTGGGGACCGAGCCCGAAGTCCCTCCGGGGGAGCAGGGCTAGGACCAGTAGGGTGAGCGTCAGGGCCCGGCAGGAATTCCCCCTTCGCTCACCCGGCAGGACCTTTCCATGGCTCGTGGGATGCACCCTTGGGGATTTTCTGGCCGCTAGGTGACTTTACCTTCGCATGGCCCTAGCCCTGACCGCCTGGGCCTAGGCGTGAACCTCTTTCTGCAGCAGGAGACTTGCGGCCCCCCCTTCCCCGCCGTCGGGGATCCTGGTCGAAGCCCCGGGAGACCAGAGCAACGTGCTGGTGCGGCCGCCAAGGCCCAGCGCACCGGGGCGCGCGGCGGTGGGGGGACTCTCGCCTCTCCCAGGTCTTCTTCGCCCACCCTTCGTCTCCCAGCCTCGAGCCTGGCAGGGTCCGCCGGGCGTGGGGCCAGCGTTTGGGGAGATCCCACCACCCCGTGAAGCCCACTCTGGTTCCCTGAGGTCAGAGGAAGGAGGTTGCACCGAAGGAAGAACTGGGAGAGGGGATCTGGGGCGGTGGGAGGGGGGATGCTCACAGCCGGTGACGGGGCGGGGCTGCGAGGGCAGATGCTCGGCCGACCTCCGGGAGCAGGCGGCCGACTCCTGGAGCCACCGACGCCCCTTTCGTCCTCTCTGCTCCGCGCCCTCTCCAGCCCCCTTCGCTCTGGCTGAGCTCAGCCACAGCTCCAGCTCCCCAAGCCCTGCCCGGCTTCCCGCAGCAACAGTTGCGGGGCTCGTAGCCCCGACTCCTGCGTCCGCACACCGCACCCTCCCCAGCGGTGCCGCGGCGCCCGGCGAAAAAGGGAGCCGGAGGGCTCGGCGACCCGGGAGACGAATGTCTTGGGCGCCTCGCCCGCGTCCTTCCCTCGCGTCCGCCGTGCGTGCCTGGCACCTCGGCCTCTCTCCCACACCTCGTCCCCGCCCGCCTGGGTCTGAACCCCCAGGCCAGGTGCCCCAGGTCCCGGCCCCCCAGCTCCACCCCCCTCGGGCTCCGAGCGCCCGCCAGACTCTCCCCTGTGCCCCGCGTCTGTCCCCGCCGTCCTTGCCCGCGAGGCGCCGGAGCCCAGCCCCAAGTTGGCGGCGAAGTTGGCGCCCCCCGCTCGCCACCCGCCACTCACCGGGAGGAAGGGGCGCTGCGCCCGTGAGAAAACAGGCTGCCCGCAGCCCTGGGTTCGAGCCCCAGGCTTACTGGGTGTGTGACCTTGGGCTGGTTAATTTCGAGGATTCCGGCCCCACCCCACCCCCAGTCTGTAAAGTGAGGCCAGCAGCTTGGGGGGCTGGTAGAAAGATGATGAGCACGCTAGGGACACCGGGGTGCTGTTTTTCAAAGATCTATCTGCCTGGAAAGCAACAAGGCAGGAAGGAGCGGGGGACCCGGGCCAGTCCGAGGGGCCACAGGGACGCTCCGGGCGCCCTGGCTCCCACTTTTTGTCTTGCACTTGGTTGTGCTGGAGACAAACCAGGGACCGGGACCCTACAGGAGGGCGAGCGGAGCGGGCAGGCTGGGGTCACAGGGTGCCTGCAGGGCGGGCAGAAGGCAGGCCGGCCGCGGCAGCAGGGCCAAGCTGGGAAGACGGGTGGGTGCCAGGCGGGGCTGCCAAAAGCCCCCACCGGCCCCCCGGGGGCAGGGAGCTGGCTCTGCAGCGCCACCTGGCGACTGGAGGAGAGCTGCGGCCGGAAGGTGACCCTGAGCCTCGAAAGAAGTTGCGCACACGGACCAGTGACCCTTGGTGGCAGATGCTTTATTTCCAGCATGTTCCTGACCTCGGGGCCCTCCACAGTCCAGCAGGAGAGAGCAGGAGGGAGGGAGGTCAGCCTGTACCTGCCACCATCCCTAACTAAGTTTATCTCCTTGCTGAAATGTACCCACACTGGCAGAAGCGACTTTCTGGCTGAAGAAAGCGCTCCCACGCCCCGGAGAAGAGGCAGCCAGGGCCGTATGCCAGGACGGGCAGACGACGCAGCTGGGGTGCAGAGTCCCGCTCAGGCTGACCCCGACGCCTCTCGGCTGCCCAGCGCGCCTCCTTTCTTCTCTGAGCCAGGCTGGGATCTGGGCTCACCCTCCTCTTTTCTCTGCACCGGGCCAGACTGGGATCTGGGCTCAGTGCCCCAGCAGCTGCAGCATCTCCTGAGGATCCAGCAGCTTCTCTCTGGGCTTCCCCAAGGCCTGGCCCCGGGACACCTCCTCAGCATCCAGTTTCTCCCAGTCCGAGAAAGACACGGTCCAGACCCCTGCAGCAGAGGGAAGATGGCTCAGGGCCTCCACCTGCTCCTCCGCCACAGCAGGGAGCAGCCCACTTCTGGCCCAGGAACCTCCCCCCACTCCCACCCCCCACCTCCCACCTCCCGGAAGCTCACACGGGGCCCAGACCTCGGCTGCCCAGCAGGCGCTTGATGGCCGCAGAGCCTGGCCTGGGGCCAGATGGCAGGTGCCCGGCCTTCAGGTCCTGCAGCAGAATCTGGCTGGTGAGGAAGCTGTCGGTCATGGTGGTGGTGATGACACCCGTGGGTCCCCGCTTCACCCAGCCGCTGCAGTAGAGGCCTGGGGGTGAAAGAGGGTAAAGGAATAGGGAGTTGGGCAGGGTACCCTGGCAAGCCTGAGCCCCAGGATACACATGCTGGGAGCATGGCCCCCCAGCATCCATCGGCCAGGCCCACTGTCTGCTGCCCACTGCCCTCAGGTCTTCCCCAAACACACCCAGGTGTTCTTACCACGCACCGCCCCCCACTTCACACCTTAGTGTCCCTGCCTCTTGGAGCTCCCTGTAGGAGCTGGGTCCTGTCACTTCGCTTCAGCAGGCTCTCAGTAAACACTGACTGAATGAATTAATAACTAGATGAGTATGTGGCTATTTGGGCTTCCCTGGGGGCTCAGATGGTAAAGAATCCGCCTGCAATGCGGGAGACCTGGGTTTGATCCCTGGGTTGAGACAATCCCCTGGAGGAGGGCATGGTAACCCACTCCAGCATTCTTGCCCAGAGAATTCACATGGACAGAGGAGCCTGGCAGCTACAATCCATGGGGTCACAAAGGGTGGGACACAGCACACATGTGGACACTTAACCAGGTTGGAAACTCACAGAGGACAAGGATTAAGCTGCTGCTTAACCCCTAGTCTCAGCCCTGGCCTAGCCCAGAGCAGGCCTCAGTACCCTGACCAACTTAGTAACCAGACATAAGAGTGGGCATCTCAGCTACACTGGGGACTTCTTGTAGGGCCAGGGGGCGGGTGGGGCTGAGTCACCAGCCTGACTCAGAACAGTTTCTCCATGCATGTCACTGGATGAAGGAATGAATGTGAAACAGCCCTGAGAGACACCAGCCTCCCTGGCCCACCCCCTCCCGACCCCCTCTCACCTGGCACATCCACAACCCGGCCCTCCATATTGGGGACGACCCCAAGCTTGGGGTCAAAGGGCACACTGGGGTCGATGGGGCGGCTCTTATAGCCAATGCTGCTGAGCACCAGCCCACAGGGGAGGTCCTCCGTGTCGCCCGTGGGCACTGCCCGGCTGGCCTCACCGATGCCCTGCAGGGAGAGTGTGGGAAACACCAGGCTAGGGGGTAGGGAGACTTGAGAACGGGGGTGTCTTTGGTTAACAGGAGACTCACCTCCAGTCTAGTGACTGCCAGGCGGATGCCTGCCGCCCGCCGCCCATCTGGCGAGGGCAGCACTTGCTGCGGGCTTCGGAAGAAGCGGAGGCCCCAGGCGCGGGAGGCCGATGCCCGGCGGGCAGCCTCCTCCACCCCTGGCTTCTCCGTGGCTGTTCGAAGCAGCAGTTCCATCAGCCGCTTCCTCGGGCGAGCGGCCTCTGTTAGCCACGCAGGACATCTCAGGGCGGTGTCCAGGTCCCAGTCCTCTCCCCACATGCCCTCTCCCCAGCCCTCCCTGACGTAGACCATCCCCTCTTAGTGAGCTGGGGGGCCAGACCAGGGCCCCTCACCCTTGATTCTGTCCTGAAGACCCAAGAAATCTGCAGGATCCAACATGGGCCGAGTTCCTGGTAACTGAGTCATCTCCCGAAGCTCCTTGGGGGTGGGGGTGGGGAGTGGAGGAGAGGGTCAGGTCCAGAGCACTGTCCACTCCCGAGCCCACCCCGGAACCCAGCCCAGGGGAGACATCACGGCCACCCACCGCCACGGAAGGCACTGGGCCCCAGGGGGCCCTGCCTGGCCCCCCTTCATCCACCCCGAGCGGCTCTGCCCTGCCACGCCTCCGCCACCCACCACCACGGAAGGCACTGGGCCCCAGGGGGCCCTGCCTGGCCCCCCTTCGTCCACCCCGGCGGCTCTGCCCTGCCACGCCTCCGAAGGGACCCTGGTGGAGCTCCCTCAGACCCCAGTACCTTTATGGTGAAGGCCGCTTGTAGGGGTCCACGTCGGCCCACAATCCACACCGTCTTCACCCGACTTCGTCTCAGGGCTCCCAGGGCAGCCTCAGTGATGTCCGTTTTCTGGCACAAAAGGAGGACCTTNTTTTGAACTGTGGTGTTGGAGAAGACTCTTGAGAGTCCCTTGGACCACAAGGAGATCAAACCAGTCAATCCTAAAGGAAATCAGTCCTGAATATTCACTGGAAGGACTGATGCTGAAGCTGAAACCCCAATACTTTGGCCACCTGATGCGAAGAACTGACTCATTGGAAAAGACCTTGATGCTGGGAAAGACTGAAGGCAGGAGGAAAAAGGGACGACAGAGGATGAGATTGTTGGATGGCATCATCAACCAGATGGACGTGAGTTTGAGCAAGCTCTGGGAGTTGGTGATGGACCGGGAAGCCTGGCGTGCTGCAGTCCACGAGGTCACAAAGAGTCGGACATGACTGAGCAACTGAACTGAACTGAGTAGCAAATCAGGCTGATCATCTTCATTCAACAAGTGTTTACCAAGTGTGCAAGGGGCATAGGGGGCAGGGTCAATCAATGGTGAACAAAACAGACATGGTGCCGGCCCTCACAGAGCTTCTGATCTAGGAGAGAGGCTTATCAAATACTCATTAATAAGTGTAACATTGCAGTGGTGACAACATACTTTGAAACAAAAGTAGCCAAGTCTATGGGAAGGAGGGGAGGTAGACCTATTCAGGGTGGTCCTGGAACGCTTCCTGGAGGAACAACTGAGTCAGGAACTAAAAGATGAACACAGGTGAGTTTCCCTGGTGGTTCAGTAATAAAGAATCCGCCTGCTGATGCAGGAGACATGGGTTCAATTCCTGATCCGGAAGGATCCCACATGCTCTGAAGCAAGTAAGCGCGTGCGCCACAACTACTGAGCCTGCGCTTGAGAGCCCGGGAGCTGCGACTACTGAAGCCCATGCGCCCTACAGCCTGTGCTCGGAAACAAGAGAAACCACTGCGATGAGAGACCCTCACACCACGACTAGATAGCAGCCCCTGCTCAATGAAACTGGAGGGAAGTCTGCACAGCAACGAAGATCCAGCACAGCCAAAAATAAAATAAATGAAATTATTTTAAAAAATTAATTAAAGATGAATCCACCTGCAATGTGCGAGACCTGGGTTTGATCCCTGGGTCTGGAAGATCCCCTGGTGAAGGGAAAGGCAACCCACTCCAGTGTTCTGGACTGGAGAATTCCATGGACTATACAGCCGCAATGAGTCAGACATGACTGAGCGACTTTCACTTCCCCTGGAGGAGGGCATGGCAACCCACTCCAGTTATTCTTGCCTGGAGAATCCCATGGACAGAGCTGCCTAGTGGGTTACAGCCTTTGGGTCACAAAGAGTCGGACATAATTTAGCAATTTAGCACGCACGCACTCACACAGGAGGTGTGTTGAGAGGCTTCTGAGCAGGGGGAGTGGTGTGTGTACACTGAAAACTTTCCCTTTTAAAAACCCTATGTAGCTGCAGAAAATGATGAGGAAATGGCATGAGATAAAGCCGCCTTTTAGAAGGCCTCTGCCAGGCACTGTGGGGAAGCAGTCACTGAGTTCAGCCTGGAGGGACGAGGCCCAAACCCTGCAGGCAGGGGCCTCCTCTCCTTGGTGTAACCCCCCACTGCCACCCCTCCAGCCCCTGACCTACCCACTCACCTCCAGGTGCTCGGGTGGGGTCAGCAGGATCCGGGCCACGTCCAGAGCCACGTTCCCCTGCCCCAGAATCACGGCTGTGTCACAGCTCAGGTCCGGGGCCAGCTGGAGGGCAGAGGTCGGGATGAGGCTCACCCAGCCTGGGCCTCAGTCAGGCTGATCTCAGCCTCACGCCCCATCCCCAGCCATAGCCTCAAGCTCCTCCATGCTCAGAACGTTCGCCCCCCCACCCCAAGCCTCAACCCAGGTCCCGCCCCCAGCACCCCTCACCCCGTCTTCCCAGAGGCACCCCCCCCCGCCAGCCTGATGCTTCACATCTCATCTCGCCGGCCGCCTCCCAGGCCTGCAGCTGCCCCTTCCCCCAGCTGTGGGAGCCAAGAGCTAGCTGAGAAGTGAAGGAAGAGGCCGAGGGAGTACTCCCCAAACTCACCTCCCGATTCTCAGGAAGCCCATTGTACCAGCCCACGAAGGCCCGGGCCGAGAACACNGGTTGCCATTTCCTCCTCCAGGGGATCTTCCCGACCCAGGGATGGAATCCACATCGCCTGCATTTCCTACATGGGCAGGCCTCCTGGGAAGCCCTGGTGGGGTTGAAGCAGAGGCTAAGTCTGCCCTTCCCAGGGCAGAGCAGGACAGCCCCGCTCAGCAGGCTGAGGACCCAGGAGAAAGGAAGGCCCATCTGTCCTCACCTGCCCAGAGAGCCAGACTAGAGGGATGGGCAGTCCAGAGCCAGGGCAGCCAAGGCCCGACTTCAAGGGCCACCAGCCCATTGAGATGGCGAGACCGCTGGCCAGCCGAGGAAGGCGGCAGCTTTCCCTTCACCGGAGCTGTATCAGGAGAGCTTCTTCATCTACTTGGGTCAGGCGTGACACACAGCCCTGTCCCAGAACCCTCTGACGCGTCTAGCAACACCCAGCCTGTGGATGGCCTGAGAACCACTCTTGGAAACTTACAGCGGTATGTGTGCTCAGTCGCTCAGTTGTGTCTGACTCTTTGTGACCCCATGGACTGTAGCCCACCAGGCTCCTCTGTCCATGGGATTCTCCAGGCAAGAATACTGGAGTGGGTTGCCATTTCCTCCTCCAGGGGATCTTCCCGACCCAGGGATCGAGCCCGTGTCTCTTATGTCTCCTGCCGTGGCAGGCGGGTTCTTTACCACTAGCGCCACCTGGGAAGCCCACTGCCTGTGCCCAAGTCCAGGCACCCCACCCCCCAACACTGCCCACCGTGCCTCCTGACTCTTCCCATCCGTGCCATCCACAGGCAGCGCCAGAACCACCTCCCTCTGCCCCACCGACCTCCCTATGCCCTTGAAGAGCTGAAGTTTTGGAGTCAACAGCCACGGGAGCTGACCCAGCGCCACCACTATCTGACTCTGTGCCGCTGGAATGATTCTTAACTTCTCTGGGCCACAGAACACTCCCTGGCGTGATGCTCCAGATGCAATGAGCAAGGCCTGCACCCTCAGCCCCGGGCGAGACCCGCTGCGAGTGTTCAATCAGAAGCTGCCATCACCATCACTGCAGTTGCTGTGGTGGCTGTGTCTCACCGCCTGGCTCACGAACCTTCCCTGGCTGCCCGGCCAGGGGACAAAGTTCAAACTGCTTAGCCTGCAGGTCAGTATCATACACTATCTGCCTTCCCATCTTATCTTTCCTTCTTTCCAGCTTGGAGCCTTCCCTCCAGGACTCAGGGCCCTCTCCAAGGCCACCTCCGTAAGACTAAACCCGCTGGACCTGTTCACTGGTTCTCTCACAGGACTGGACTCCTCTTCCGGGAAGCCCGTCTTTCCTAGCTCTCACACGAGTGCTGAGTTGTTCCAGTCGTGTCGGACTCTTTGGGACCCCACCTGTAGCCCACAGGCTCCTTTGTCCATGGGATTCTCCAGGCAAGAATACTGGAGTGGGTTGCCATTTCCTCCTCCAGGGGATCTTCCCGACCCAGGGATCAAACCCTCATCTCTTGNGGCTCCTTTGTCCATGGGATTCTCCAGGCAAGAATACTGGAGTGGGTTGCCATTTCCTCCTCCAGGGGATCTTCCCGACCCAGGGATCAAACCCTCATCTCTTGTGTCTCCTGCATTGGCAGGCGGATTCTTTACCACTGGTGCCTCCTAGCTCTCCCCCGTCCCTCCAATCCCTCTAGCTGTTCTTTCCCAGGTCCTCTTTGCTCTATTCCTCCTCTAACAAGAATATTCTTGGAGGTTCTTCCAATCTGAGTTCCCCTCCCCTTGCCCAGGACATTCCCTTGGGGAGGTGTCATCGCTCCCTCCTATGACCTCAAATTCCTGTGGACTTACTGATGACGTTCTACTCTCCCCTGCCCAGCCTTCCTACCAAGCCTGAGACCCCTGGACAGCTCACCCGAGACACCTCACACCAATCTGGATGGAAGCCAGTCCCCCTTCCCCCACTTCTCCCCCACTCTGCTCCCAGGCTTCCTTCCACCCCGAGCCAGAAGCTAGGGTTCCTCTCTGACTCCCCTCAACCGTGTCCAATCAGACCCCCGTCCTCCCCACTGCCACCCCAGCAGCTCCCACTGCTCTCCTGGCCACCAGCCCTGCCCTCCCTGCAGGCAGAGAAAGCTCTAGATCAAAATCAGGGTGCTTTCAACCCCCCGCCTAAAACCCTCTAGCAAAGCCAACCACCTGTGGGAACTGTGCACCCAGGAAAAAAGAGGTGTGTTGTTTTCAAATGCTGATTCCTGGGCCCCAGTCACAGCTTGATTAGGTGGAAAATAGGCCCAGAAATGTGCGTTTTCCCCAGTCCCCCAGGGGACTCTGATGGAGGGAGGGGGTGGACAGCACCAAGAGAAACCGCCGGCTTCCAGCCTGCTCAGGGCTTCCAGGTCCCCAGAACCTGGGCCCACACACCTCCTCCAGCCTTTGCTCCTACCCTTCCAGCTGCTGAATTCGCCCATCCCCAAACCCACATCCTCTCTCCTCGGGGTGATTGTCACGCCGTTCTCTGCGCCCGGGGCTCTCTGGCCTCCTGCCCCACCCCTCCTCTGTCCTTTACACATCGATCAAGGACATCACCCCCTCTGGCTGGGTAAGGTGTCCCCCCTGTACGCAGTGTCCCCTCGCTCATCAGGATCCTAGAATATCACGTAAACCCTCTTCTCCTCTACTCCACAACCCCCCAGGTAGACTCTCAGGTCCTTGAGCGTGGGGACCATGTCTGTCCTGCTCATGTTCCCCGTGCCGAGCCGTGCCTGGATCATGTCAGCGTCCAGTGGTTGAGAACTGAACGGCCCAGCGTGGACCTTAAGGGCAGGCTCTGCCATCGGACAGTCCACGCTCAGAACCCAGGCCTTCCCTGCTCAGCGGTGGGGCCTTGGACAGCCTCCCTCAGCCTCAGCATTCTCACCTCTGAAGCAAGAGTCATGCCACCTGCTTCGCAAGTTGTCTTGAGGCTGCGAGGAGCTGCTGTGCAGACCGTGCCTGACTCAGCTAAGTGCCACTGTCCCAAACCTGCCTTGTGTTCCCACCCCGGGAGCACAGCTCGTAGCTTGAAGCTCCCAGTGGACAGGGACCAGCTTGTAATTGGCCCCGGTGCCCACCCCCAGTACCTCCCACAGGGAAAGAACGCACAGGTCAGAGCCTTTGTTCACACTCGGGGTACTGAGCCTGCTGCCGGGAAGGCCCCCTCTGCCCACATTTCAGGCTCCGCTCGCACGGCGACCCTTACCCAAGCCCCAGAAGATCCCTGGTCTCCTTCCCAGTGCCCAGGTCTGTTGTGACACATGGCAACTGGCCTGTAATGAAGCCCCACACGTGGGAGACCCTCTCCAGAGCCTGGGAGCCTCCCTCAGTGCAACGCAAACACAGCTTCTCCAGGAGGCACCTTCTTACCGACCCCACCTAACCAGGCTCTTACTGGTCACTTCACTGTAATTAGCTCTTTTACTTGTGCTGCTTGGAAGGTGAGCTTGGGTCACTTTCTGGCAGGGGGACCAACTCATCCTGGCCTCCCCAAGACCCTCCCAGCAGTAAGGCTGAAAGCCTCACATCCCCGACAAACTGGGAAGGTCGATCGCCCTACTTTTAAAGTAGAGTGTATAGTTAATATATTCATCCATTCTCCTGTCTCTCCACAGCAAGGTCATTGCCCTATGTCTTAGTCAGCTGAACTCTCCCACATCCCTCTCCCATCCCCGACTCCTGCCCCACCAAGGCCTGCCGATGTTTCAAGGGTAACCAGCAACCTTGGGGCCCTGCCCGCCAAGGCTAGTACTATAAACCTTGAGACTCTGGCCATGGGGTGGGGGGAAGGGGTAGGATGGGGAGTAGAGAGCAGGCTGAAAAACAGCATGGCATAGGGCTGGAACTATTGGCAAGGAGAATGCAATGAGGCACCTAAAGTTACAGAGGGCCTTGAGAAGAGGGGATGGCCTCAAGATGCAGGATATTGGAACAGAGAGGAGAGAGAGGAGAAAGAAGGGAAGATGAGGGGCAGAATAAAGTTATCCTTCAGGTCTGGAGTAAGCTCCCTGGAGTACTTGGCCAGGAAAGCATAGCCAACTGTCTGCCACGAACCACCACCCAGGAGGCAAACACACTTCTCTCCGAGCTGAGGACCTACAGTGGGGAGCCCCAGGTGACAAAGCATGTACAAAGTGTCCTGTCCAGATTCGCTGGAAGCCTCTTCCCCATCAGGAATCCAGGAGTGCTTTTAAAACCCAAAGGAGTGGGGCTTGCACTTAAGACTGGAGCAGCAGGTGAATCTTGGGGAAAAGGTACCAGGGGGAAGTGGCTTACCTTTAGCAGGTGCTGGGCTGTGTAAAAGCCAGCTGGGCCACTGCCCACCACACAGATCTGGGGGGTCTGCTCCTGTGTGGAGAAGTGCTGGCCGAAGTCTAGGGTGGGGGGATGGGGGCAGAAGGTCAGATCAAGACTCCCTCGCCCATGCCAAATCCCAACTTAAGTATCGAAGAGAAGACGGAATTTCCCAGCCTTCACCCTCATATGCATCCTCCTTCTCTTTTCCCTTGAAGCTTCGACATTTGCCAGGGTCCCTTATTCCATCTGAATCCCCAAAGGTTGTGTGTCCATCCAGAGGCCCCATCTCACTCACATCCAGAGCCTGCTTTAGAGGGCCTACTCAACACTCCCCATCACCCCTGAAGCTGCCCTACTTAAATTTTCTTACTGGGTTTTCACGACCCACTCAGCTAGAATACCACATCTTCCAACAGACCCAGTATCCCCAATCTCGCCCCTGTGGATCTCCCCACAATGCCCCGTTTTACTTCTTCTAACTCCTCTCCTTCCACAGAGCCCTCTATCACCGATACAGCCTGTTTCGCCTCAGACTTCCCTCCTGCCCCACAGACCTCCTTATTCCTCTCATTCACTCCTTCTCACACCTTTGGACATCATGGTCTCCCCTTCGAACCTTTGTTGACCCCTGTCTCACCCCAGCAGCCTCACACCTTGCCGCACAGGCCGTCATCTGCCCCTGGACACCGCCCGCACACCATCTACATGAGTGCACCCCTCCAGTCTCGGCCTTGGTCTCCTCCCTCTCCCCTCTCCAGCCCTGCCCCAGCTCGGCTCCTACTTCTCACGGAATCGCTCGCAGGCCTCCCCGACCTCCCACCCAGCCCTAGAGGCGCCCTGCTCTTACTCTGGGTNCGCCTCCCCGCCCATTGGGTCATAAAGACGAAGTTCGGAAGTCTGGGAAAAGGGTCTTCCCGAGGCACGCTGGCTACCCCGCTTTTTATGGCGCGTTGTACATGGTCTGACCCCGACGAGGTGAGTCCTGGTCGGGCCAGGAAGAATTTAACCTCGGTGATCTTGTTGCGTAACCGTCCTTCCCTTTACAAAGATGAGGGACCAGCAGGAAGGTCTTGCCCTCCGTACTAAGGACAGAGCCAGGTCTCCCACCCTCGTCCAACAAGCTGGAATAGATGGAGGTGAATTTTGCACTGGCCCCGAGTGCAAAATTTAAGAGGGCGCCAAACCGTCAGAAATCGAGGTAATAATATTGTAATGCAATGTTTTAAAAGATGAAAATAAGGCCAAAAATTCATCATGAACAAAATGTATTTTAAATGACAGCCCTAGTGACATCTGACCCAATACTCGTGATTCCGCCTCCCCCAACCCCCCGCCCCAAGTGCCCTCCTGTCACGCACATCCTTGAAGAAGCCTTCCCTGACCCGTCGTCTCCCAAGCAGGGTTAGCGCCCGTTTTTGTCCCCTCAACACTCCAGCTCCTCATTACTTATTAAACTGCTTTATCATTCTTAAGTTATCTTTTTATTTGACATTGTCAGCTAAAAGAATAATGCACAATGTACACGTTGTGAGTTTAGTTTTATTCCGGGACCTTACTGAGGACTGTTGCCCAGGAAGACAGCCTCTCAGATTACTCTGAGACACTGCTTCAAAGAGGTAAGGGAGGAGCCAGGATATTTATAAACTTGTTTTTTTTTTTTTTTTGCTGGAAATAACATGTAATCAAGCATAAAAAGATTACTGTTAACCACAAAGAACAGACATCTTGAGTTAATGATTTTAGTGCTTTTCCATGTATGGGAAGACTCAAGAATCTGGGGTCACTGGAATTTTTCCTTAGTTATATAACTTAACTATCTGGGGGCCAGTATATCTAAAGCACAGGGCTTCCCAGGTGGATCAGTGGTACAGAATCCACCTGCCAGTGCAGGAGACATGGGTTCGATCCTTGGGTCAGGAAAATCCCCTGGAGCAGGAAAAGGCAACCCATTACAGTATTCTTGACTGGGAGAGCCCATGGACAGAGGAGCCTGGAGGGCTACAGTCCAGGGGGTCCCAAAAGAGTCAGACACGACTTAGGGGCTAAAACAACATACAAAGCACGGAACACTTCCTGTTTTTCCCCATCATGAATTCCCCTCAGGGAACATTGTTGGTGAGTGACTGCAGGAGCTAATAGCTTGATCCTTGTAGAACTGGAATGGCAGACTTTTTTTTTTCTTTACAAAGTATGATGAACAGAAAACTGCACAAACCATAAGTGTACTGGTTGATGAATTATCACAAGATGTAACCATAACTTAGATCAAGAAGTAGAACTTGGCCAGCACTTGGAGGAGCTCCTTTTGCCCCTTCTAGACACTTCCCTTCCCTTTGCTTACTTCCCTTCCCTTCCACTTACTTCCCTTTACTGAGAAGTAAACACTGCTCTGATTTCTAATAAGTCATTGTGTTTTGTACTCCTCCCATCAGACCAGGAGTAGGCAAGCTACAGTTTGTAGCACAAATTCCTCTCACCACCTGTCTTTGTATTGTATAACCCACAAGTTCATGACTTACATTCTTAAATGGTTTTTCTAAAACTAGAGAATAATATTCTGTGACATGTGAAAATTACATAAAAATTTTTTTTTTTTTTAATTTAGGGACTTCCCTGGCAGTCCAGTGATTAGGACTCAGTGCTAAGACTGCCAGGACCCATGTTTGATACCTGGTTGGGGAACTAAGATCCCACAAGTCTCACAGCATGGCAAAAAACAGAACACAGTGATGTTCATTTCTTTACATATTGTCTCTGGCTGTTTTTGTATTTTGATGGCACAGTTGAGTAGTTGTGACAGAAACCATATCATCCACGAAGCCCCAAATATTTACCATCTAACATTTTACTGAAAAGGTTTCTCGATTCCTGCACTAGACAATAAGCTCCAGCAGACTGGGGCCCAATCACACTTTTGTATCCCCTGAGTTTGCACACTGCCAGGCACATAATGGATGTACATGAAGAGTTTCTCTTAACATTCCATTTATTATCCTCTCACATGGGAGGAAGAGATGGAGACTGAGGATAGACACCCTAGAAAGCCCTAGACTGCTCCCTACCCAGAGGTGGTATCTCTGGTGGTTAAGAGCAGGAATTCTGGAGTTGGACACACCAGGTTTGAATCTTTCTTCCTCCACGTACAAGCTATATGACATTGATAAGTTCAATCTCTCTAAGGCTTATCTTCACAATATGAGGGGGAAATAGTAACAATTTCTTGTAAAGATTAAAGTTAGATAGCATAGGAACTTCTCTGGTGGTCCAGTGGCTAAGACTCTGAGCTCCCAATGTGGGGGCCAGGATTTGATCCCTGGTCAGGAAACTAGATCTCACATGCTGCAACTAAGACCCAGAAAAGCCTAATAAATAATTTTTAAGTTAGACAGCACAAGTTAAAAATGTGCCATAAGTTCTGAATTGATGATAGCTAACATCATCATAAGTATTATCCCCTCCAGTATGTCTCTGTAAATTAGACCTTAGGTCTCTGCAGAGCCCTCAAAGGGCTTCCTTCACTCTTGTCATCTCTCATTTCTCAAGGCCCAGTCAATCCCAGTCACAATCCCAGAGTAACAGATAATTAAGCCTCAAAGTGACAGAGCGTTCTTGGGGGCCTGCTGTGTAGCCAGGTCTGGTACCAGGGCCTCCAACTTCAGCCTGTTCCCCACTCAGGCCCAGATCAATAACACTGAGTCACTGGTTGTATTAGGATGGTTTTAATCATTAGCCAGGAGGCCTGGAGGTGCAAAGGGCCTTTTCTGATGTTGCATTTTTCATGTGGAGAATTAGCAGTTTGATTAATCACATTCCTAGACCTTAAGGCCATTTCTGAGTTGCTAATGCATTTCACAAGAGCATCAATAACATATAGCAGAGCAGTAGGCGGAGGAGGCTGCCAAGCCTGCCTCCTTCCAAGAGGGCTGCTTGGATCCAAAACTGCTCTATCAGTCAGCCTCCCAGCAGGAACCAGATGGCATGCTCAGAGGGGCTTATTGAAGAGAGTTTAATGAAGAAACTTTGTGCAGAGGTGTGGCAGGATGAAGGATGTGCTGAAGCCCCCCCCCCCCAACGGAGGGGACAATCAACAGCTGGAAGACACTTTCACCCTAGGCCCTGAAGGAGCAAAAAGAAGGAGCTATTCCGGAAGAAGCAAGAGCTGCAGCAGGAGAGGGCACTGGCCAGGAGCTGTGGGCTTCCAGAGAGAAGGGCAGGGTGGAGGAGAGGGGAATGGACCTGGCCAGGCAAGTGGGAGCTACTCAGCAGAGCCGCCTAAGGCCACACCAGAGACTGGTGCTCTCACGGGACCAGGCTCAGAGAATGCCTTCGCCTGCCCCTCTCCCCTTCACCCACCCCACGTGCTGGCATTCAGCCTTCCCTTTATCAGGATCAGCATGCCCTTCACCTCGTCCAAGGACTTCACTGAAAAACAAGGTGATCATGCACTTAGGACTGACTTGTGTGTCCTCAACCAGAGGGTTTTTGCCACCTGCCCCCCAACCAGGAGACATTTGGCAATGTCTGGAGACGTTTTTGATTGTCACAACTTGGCATCCTAGTAGATAGAAGATAGAGATGCGACTAAACACCCTACAATGCACAGGACAGTCCCCAGTGACAAAGAATTAGCTGGCTAAAGCATCACTGCCAAAGTGAGAAACCTGTTTTAAACTTAACTTCTCTGGCCTCCTGTCAGAGTCCCGGCCTCCTGTCAGAGTCCCGGCCTCCTTCTCTGACTCTCCCCCAGCCTCCAGCTGGGCCCTGCCTCCCACTTTCTCATCCAACCTCCAGGCAGCGCTGCTCCCGCCTCTCTCTCTCCAGGCCACCAGCTTTGGGCTGGATCTCAGTGGCGTCCCCACTACCTAGGCTCTTGTTCTGGCTGGCATCAGTCACTCCCTTATATCTCCGCCTCACTCTCAGGCTGCAGACATTCCTTTCACAGCTAAGCGTAGCCCTTGACTCCCAGCTCTTGTGTCTGAACCCCATCTCTCTCCCCCTCCTTCCTCTCCTCTCCAAGGCCATCTGACCTCCAGCGCCAGTTCCCATAACCCCTCTCCAGCCTCAGCTACCCTCCCAGTCATTTTCTCTCTCTCCCAGTTGAGAATTCCTCCACCCCTTGCAAATAACACAAGCAAAGCTGACTTGGAGAGCTAGCCAAGGTCCCGCTCAAGGCTACTTACCCCCTTGCTATCCTCATCTGCCCTGGAGCCTTCCCCACAAAACACACACTTTGATCTCACAGATGCTGTGGGTCTCGGGAGCTGCTGAGCCCAGGGTCTTGCACAGGCTTCCTGGCTGAGATACTAGGAAAGTCTGCTGGAGGTAACCTCTCCCTGTGGTCCCTCGGGAGAGGGCTCCTTTGGGGCCGGAACCTCAAACAGCACATGAAGGAGTAGTGGCCAAGTCCAGAGCTCCCTGGCACCAGGGAGGCCCTCGCCAGGGGGCAGGTGGACCCCTCTCTCTTGGTGCCCCTCCCGGCCTGCCCCCAACCTAGAGCCTCTCCATACCCCTGTCCACTAGCCCTCCCAAGGCTCAGAGCGAAAGCAGGAAGGAATCCAGCTGTTTGGTCCTGAGATGAAGCTGGCTGAGGTCCAGACTGAGCAGAATGCCCAGCCACCTTTATTCCAGAAAAGCAAGCAGAGCAGGTGACCCCCGGAACCCCCGGCGTGAGCTCCCTGCCTCACTATTCACCCGCGCCTCCGCACTCTGGTGGAGCGAAGCACAGCCCCTGGGTGGCGGCTGGTGCCCTCCCCGCCCCAGGGGTGGCCAGCAGAGACAGGAGCGCCAGGGCTGGGCCCCCGGGAAGGACAGCGGGGTGGCCGGGCTGGCCCACCCCTCACTGCAGCCCCACCAGCTCTGTGATGGGGGGGGTCTGCACCATGAATTCCTCGTAGCGTTGGAGAAACAGCCGGAAGCGAGCCAGGTAGGAGTCCTCGTTGTATGGCAGCTGCTTCTCATGGAGGAACCGGGACACCACGGGCTTCACCTGCCAGAAGGTGGGCGGGAGGAGACACTGCAGGTGGGCGCATCCTCATGGGGGCTTTCCTCTCCCAGCCCCCAGCTCCCATCTGCTTGGTCTCGTGATGCTGGGGAGGAGCTGAGGGGCTGGGAGAACTCCCGCGTTTCCAGCAGGCAAGGGAAAGGGGAGTTTTCATCCCCAGCATTCTTCTCCGGGGATCCTGACTATCTGACAGTCCTCCTTAGCATAGGGGGATAAACTCCATCTCTCCCTTTCACCAACCATACAGGTACCTGACATTTCAGGTCCATTTCTCCATTATCTTCAAAACCTGTCAATGTAAGCAACGTATCTGACTCTTTGCAACTCCATGGACTGCAGCCTGCCAGGCTCCTCTGTCCATGGGATTCTCCAGACAAGAATACTGGAGTGAGTAGCCATTCCCTTCTCCAGGGGATCTTTCCAACCCTGGGATTGAACCCAGGTTTCCTGCATTGCAGGCGGATTCTTTACTGTCTGAGGCACCAGGGAAACCCAGGCACGGCTTAGTCCCATTTTACAGATGCGGAAGCTGAGGCTCAGAGGTATTCAGTTAACTTGTCCAGAGTCACACTGCCAGATCAGAAACCCAAGTGTTTCTGATCAAAAGCCACACTGCTGCTTGTTCCCCGAGCGGCCCTTTCCTGGGAAATTCTGGCCAGGTCAGTTGGTCAGAGGGCCCTGAAGGGGACTCCCCCTCCACCCTCAGGCAGCTCCCTCATCCAAGCCCCTCCAGCCCCACCCTCATCTACCTTCAGGCACATGTTGTCGGAGAGCCTGGGGAAGAGGTGGTGTTCCACGTGGCAGCTGATGAGAGAGTGGCCGAACGCCCAGTCCAGCACGGGCAACCGGGGCAGGTTAAGCACCCCCAGGCTCATCATGTGGATCCGTCGGGGCTTCTTGTCGGGGGAGAACATGGGCAGCCCGATGTGCTGAGACAGACAGGAGGGTCAGGCCCTGGGGCCAGGCCGGGCAGACCCGTGTGTCCCCACCCCGCCCCGGCACCCTCAGCCGGCACCCGGGGCCCCGTGGGTCCTTCTGTCCGTCTCACCTCCTGCCCCGGCAGGACCCTGTCTATCCTGTTATGAGCCTCGCCCATCCCTGGACCACTCCCCCCGTCAGCGCAGCGAATGGGAGTCTGGGTGCCCCTCTGACCCCGTGGTCCTCTGAGTCCACGGCTGCCCCCCACTGTCCCTCACGTCCCTGTGCCTTCGCTTCATCCCGAACAGACCCTTCTCTGCTCTCTTTTCAACAATCAAAATCCTGCTCATGGTTCAAGAAACGCCTCCTCTGCGAGGCGTTGTCCTCAGTCTAGAGGATGTGGAAGTGAATGGGAACTTCCGGTCTCACAGGACAAGCGGAGGGAACACAACTATGGGACTGCATCCTGGGATTAAGGCATTAATGGCTGTGTGGTAAGTGCTAGGTTGGGATCCTCACTGGTCCAGGGAGCAGGGAGGGGACCATCCCCATGGGAGTAGCCCCAGAACTGAGCGCTGAGCTGCCGGCCTCCCACAAAGACCTCCCATCTCCAGCTCCCCCAGCATCTTACCTAGACACATGCCCGCTGGGATCTCTGTGATGGCCCTTGTTTCACTTCCCTCGGGCTCATCACAGTAAGAGCCGAGGCTCGGAGCTGGGGTCCTATTCACTTGTGTCCCTAAAGAGCTTAATCAAGTAAACTCTGCACATGTGCGTGCAAGGTCACTTCAGTCCTGTCCGACTCTTTGCACCCCTATGGACTGTAGCCGACCAGGCACCTCTGTCTATGGGATTCTCCAGGCAAGAGTACTGGGACAGATTGCCATGCTCTCCTCCAGGGGATCTTCCCAACGCAGGGACCGAACCCGGGTCTCTTACGTCTCCTGCATTGGCAGGTGGGTTCTTTCCCATTAGTGCCACCTTTGCACAGAAGCTGCTTAATAAATCTCCCATTCATGCTCAAATGGCAGCCAGTGTTGAAGGGAAGTGAACTCCTTACCTGAGACCAAAACCCTCTGTGATAACCCTCAGGGAGAAGGGCAGAGGCTAAGGGTAGGGAGGTACGTCACCTGGTGGCCTCTCTCTCCCTAGAATCTAGAGTCCAGCTGCAGCCAGGCACCCCGGAGGCTGGTCCCCACGCCCCCCTCCCCAGTGGGCCTCACCTGGAAGATGTTGACGTGGAGATAAGGGTGGGCCAGCAGGGACCTGGTGATGAGCATGCAGGCCAGGGCCGAGCCGGGGCTCCGGAAGCCAGACACGTTCAGGAGCAGCCAGTATTGAGAATAAAGGCCCAGGGAGATCAGGCCCAGAGTCCGCAGGGCCGTCCTGAGCTCCACCTCTCTCAGCCGCTCTGCCAGAACGGGCGAGAGATTGGGGGAGAGGGGGTTGGCAAGGTTCCCATCCAACATATGCAGGCTCCCTGGTGGCTGAGTGGTGCAAACTCGGGTGACCGAGGTAGTGACAGCCCTGAAAAGTAGGTTCATTCTCTTTTCTTTCCCCCTTTGGCTGCACTGTGTGGCTTGCAGGATCTTAGTTCCCCGACCAGAGATCAAACCCAGGCCCTAGTAGTGAAAGTGCCAAGTCCTAACCACTGGACCACCAAGGAATTCCCTTTTTTTTTCCCTTTCACCCATTTTTAGAATAGAAAACAGAGCATTAAGCAACCTGAACGAGGTCAGTCTGATACTAATAGTAAGTGGTGGCATGTGGCTTGAGCCCTGAGCCCCTTAGGGCCCTGCTTCTTCCACCTAACGATATTGCCCCTATGAGACTAACAATTATAACATACAACAGAGGGAGGCCTTTACAAAACACTGTTACATCATCTACGACCTCGTTATGCTTTCGCACCATCCTTGAGGAGCAGGTAAGAACCTGAAGTTCAGAGAAGTTAAGCTACCTGCCTGTGGTCATCACCCCCCAGTAACCGGCAGACGCAGACTTGGCCCCAGCTCCAAAGTTCTCTCCACCCTGCTTGGGTGTCTCAAAACGTTTCTGTCTGGTCTCAACCCAGGGCTCCTCGCTTCCTTCACGAAGCCTCCACGAAGGCAGGAGAGGGGGGAAGGGAAGGGGGGTGGGGGGGAGACCAAGTCTTTGCAGGGCACGGCCCTGGCTTACTCACCCACAGCCACCAGCGGGGTTATGATGGGGATCAAGAAAGGAGCGAGGAACATGTAGACGTAGCGGTTGAGGCAAGGCAGCCTCCACGTGCTTGAGTCCCCCAGGCCCAGCACGTTGGTGTAGCCGTGGTGCATCTTCACGTGTCCATACTTGGCGTACTCCGCAGTGAAGGACGTGCATACCTGGAGGAGGGAGCCAGAAGCGGGGCGGGGTCCACATCACAGGCGAGCAAAGCTGGACATTTGGAGTCTTGAAAAGACACTCCTTCCCCAGACCCTGCCTTTCTAGGGCCTTCCTGCCTTCCACCCCCAGCTCATCGGCCTTGACCATCAGCTATCGGGGATCTAGGACAGCAACCCCATCCTGGGACTTCCCTGGTGGTCCGGTGGTTAAGAATCTGCCTGCCAATGCCGGGGACACGGGTTCGATCTCTGGTTGGGGAACTAAGATCCCACATGCCTGGAGGCAGCTAAGCCCAGTGTACCCCAACTACTGAGTCTGCACACTCAAGAGTCCGCAGCACAACCAGAGAAGCCCGTGCGCTGCAGTGAAGAGCCAGTGAACCACAGAGAAAGATCCTGCGGCTGGTGCCGCAGCTAAGACCTGGCGCGCGTGTGCGTGCGTGCGTGAGCGTGCTACGTCAATTCGTTGGTCCATACTGACTCTGCGACTCCATGGACTGTAGCCCGCAAGGCTTCTCTGTCCGTAGGATACTCCAGGCAAGAATACTGGAGTGGGTCGCCATGCCCTCCTCCAGGGGATCTTCCCGACTCAGCAATGGAACCCGCATCTCTTGTCTCCTGCACTGGCAGGCAGGTTCTTTACCACTAGCGCCACCTGGGAAGCCCCTAAGACCCGATGCAACCAAATAAATAATCTTTTTTTTAAAAAAAGCAACTGCATCCACTCAGCATGATGCTGCAAAGCATTTGGGGGCGGGAGGCCAGCAAGTCTGACAGGGCCGCTGGAGGACTGGACGCACCGAAGGCAAAGCTCCAGGCATCTGATGGCAATTATTTTGTGAGTGTTCATCGTGGAAACCTCTGCACCTTCATGACACTGCTTTGCATCCTGAGCCCCCCGCAGTGAGGGGAGTCTCGGGAGGAAGAAAGGCCATCTTCTGAACCGTCCCTGAAGGTGGCACCCAGGGTAGAGTTAACTTCTTCCTAGAGGTGACTCTTTGCCATGACCCTACGTGGGAGTCTCTGAAGCTGGTAGCCAGCAGCTGCAGCAGCTCCGTGACGCCAAGAAGAGCAGTCATTCTGAATATAAAAGAGGCGCCAAAGTGTTCCTCATGCAGATATATGCAAATTAACACACCCAACCTCAGCCTCTTCCAATATTTTATCCAAAAGCCAGAAGACTTTGCTAATTTTATTGAAGATGCCGCCTGCCTATTTCCTTGAGGATGTGAAGGGCGTCCCAATGCCAGTCACTGTGAACACCATAAACACAGCAGAGCAGGGAACTTCCCTGGTGGTCCAGTGGTTAAGGCTGCAGGCTCCCAGGGCAGGGGCCACGGGTGCAGTCACGGATCCCTAAATGCCGCACGGCACAGTCAAATAAATAAAAAATAATTTTTAAAAAAGTAAAACATAATCAATTATTTAAAAAAAAAAAAGGACCAAACAGTTGGTTCACAAAGGAGCAGTTGCCAGGATCTGGCAGGGCCTCCTCAGAGGCCAGCCTGCCTCTGCCCAAGGCTTGCAAGTGTATTTTGAGCCTCACGGTTCTGTAACTGGAAAAAAGCAACTGGGCTTTTGTTGTTGTTGTTATTTTTAATTTAATTATTACTTTTTGGCAGCTCACGGACTTTCTTGAGGGTGGCTTCTCTTATTCCCGAGCACAGGCTCTAGGGTATGTGGGCTTCGGTAGTCATGACACACGGGCTTAGTTGACCCTGGGTATATGGGATCTTCCCGGACCAGGGATCGAACCTGTGTCCCCTGCATTGGCACCACAAGGGAAGTCCGTGACTGTTTTTAACTGCTGTTTTTAACTGCTTTCCTTCCTCACACTTCTGTGTGAGGCCGAGCTTGTCTGCATTGCTTTTTGCTTCAAGAAATGTTAGCTGCCCTCAGCAATCTGCTCTTCCTTCTTGCCCTTCCTTTTGGCCCTGCTCAGACTAGCAGCTGATCATGCTTTGAGCCAGAAACAGCCTGGGGCCTGAACCCTACTGAGCATGGTAGGAACTTGACCTCAGGGGCCTGCAGGGCCAGGTTCTCAGCCACATACCCAGACCACAGAATTGGGGGCAGGGGCCAGCATGTGTGTAACATGTGGTTTGTGACTCAGCACAGGCTTCCGGAATCTGTGTGACCTGCCTTTTTGCAAGAATAAATAAGAACAGATCTAGGGGAACTTCCTAGGTGGTCCAGGGCTGAGACTTCACCTCCTAATGAGGGTGTTCGAGTTTGGGTTCCATCCCTGGTTGGGGAGCTAAGACCCCACTGCTTCCCAACAGAGGCACAATTGTAACAAATTCAATAAAGACTTTAAAAATGGTCCACGTTAAAAAAGAAAAGAAAAGAAACCCAGATCTGAGTCTATTTCTATATACTGGAATTCTCCCTCCCATCTAGATGTTCTTTCCAGAATGAGGGGGAACACGGTGGGCTTCGGAGGAGGAGAGAGACTGGACACCAGGCTCGGCGTGTATCACGTGTACCCATCAAAGGGCCGGGGGACAGGGCCACGCGTTACAGACGGTCCTGCTACAAAAGATTATTTACAGGCCTCGCCCAAGATGATCTCCCATCCAGACCCAGAGAAAGTTCCAGAAACTTCTTGATATCACTACCCTCTACGACCCTCAGGCAGACTTAAGAACCTAGATCTCTCAGCCTCACTCAGTCTCCTCAAGTGGCCAAAGTGAGTGTGGGGTAGACGTCAGTATAATTCCCCTCGACATCTCCTCTCAGCGACAGTTGGGGGACCCACCATACCCTGGAGCCTTTGAGTGGCAACTACTGGAGCCCACGTGCCTAAAGCGCAGCAAGAATCCCCAGCACCATAACGAAGAGTATCCCCGGCTCACCACAACTAGAGAAAGCCCATGAGCAACAGCGAAGGCCCAGGGCAGCCAAAAACAAATAAATAAAAATGAAAATAAATCAGAGCCCCTCCCCAGATCTCTCATTCGTTCATTTAGTTGTTTATTCATTAAGCATCCTCAGACCTCCACCAGCAGCCAAAAGTAGTTCTCTAACTTGGTACTTTTTAAAACATTTTATTTTTTGAACAGGTAATATGTTTGCATAATTCAAAAAGTACGCAGGGTGGGGAGGGGTCTTCTTCCTACCCCACCTGCCAGTTGCCCCATTTTCCTCCTGGGAGGTGAGGGAGGTTCTCTATCTCTCTATGTGTCCTCTAATATTTTCCTCTTTTAATTTTTAAGCAAACAATACTTTGCAGGATTGAAAACCGTCATTATGAGATTAGGACACAGAGTTGGGCTTCAAATAGATCACTAACTGGATCAGAAGGGAAGGGGCAGGATGAGGCAGGTGCCAGGCTGGAGGCTGGAGGTGTGGCCACTGAGAGAGGTGAGGGCCAGAGGGCAGGGTGGAAGGAGGGATCTGGGGCAAGGAGGAGGAGGAGGAGGCAATCAAGACAGGAGCCAAGTCTCCAGCTCAAGGCCTGGGGGGTGCGGCTCACTCTGGAGGTGGGGACAGGAGAAGAGGGCCACAGGGTGGGCAGGGTGAGGAGGAGGGGCTGGGAGTTGACCCACAGGCAGGAGGGACTGTGGGCTGGGGTCTTCCCCGCTTTAGGTTTGTCAGATAAAGTATAGGACACCTGGAGACGTACTTGCTGGTCCCGTGGCTAAGACTTCATGCTCCCAGTGCAGGGGCCCTAGGTTCATCCCTGGTTAGGGAATTAGATCCCACATGTTGCAACTAAAGATCTCACATGCTGCAACTAAGACCTGGCACAGCCAAATATACATTTTTTTTAAATATAGGATGTGGAAACAGAAATGGCAACCCACTCCAGTATTCTTGCCTGGAGAACTCTATGGAGCCTGGTGTCTTACAGTCCATGGGGTCACAAAAAGTCAAACCAGCAGCTGCCTTCCCACCCCTGGGCCCAGCCAGCCTGTCCTGACAGCGTCTCCTCCAGACGCTCTCACCAGGGGTTCTCAGCCTCACCACTGTTGCCTTTGTGGACCGGGGGCTTCCCTGGTGGCTTAGATGGTAAGGAATCTGCCTGCAATACAGGAGACCTGGGTTCGATCCCTGGGAAGGGAAGATTCCCCTGGAGGAAGGCATGGCAACCCACTCCAGTATTCCTGTCTGGAGAAGCCCATGGACAGAGAAGCCTGTCAGGCTACAGTCCATGGGGTTGCAAAGCCTCAGACACCACTGAGGGACCAACACGTTCACACTTTTTCGTTCCATATCCTGTGTATAATAGACTACCAGAAACCTTGGCCCCTACCTGCTAGATGCCAGCAGCACACACATACACACACACCTGCACGCATGCGCATACACACAGACACACCCTAGTCATCACAGCCCAAACACCTGCAGACACTGCCCGTATCCCTGCCACGCTCTCTCCTCTCCGTTCCCACAGCCTCCACACAGCCGCCTTCACAATCTGCCTGCCCTGGCCCTGGGCTCCACCGTGTAGCAGCTGAGCAGCCGGGGGCAAGTGACCTAACCTGCCAGACCAGTGTTTCCTCATCCACAAAGTCAGGGTGATAATAGGCTTGACCTCACAGGGAGGCGTGATTATAAGATAATTGACATCAGCTACACAGTAAGCACCCAGTAAGGGTCAGTTGGTATAATTAAGACTTCTATTATTTTGATGTCATTCATGTGTGCCTGTTTACCCACTGGACTCTGAGCTCTTGGGGAACCGGACGAGGGTTCTGCTCACCATTGTGTCCCCAGCACCCAGCAGACGGCTGGGCCGGGAGCGAAAGCGCGATGATNCTCACCCAGGGATTGAACCCATGTCTCCTGCACTGGCAGGTGAATTCTTTACCACTGAGCCACCAGGGAAGTCCTGAATGTCAAATGTTGAATGACATTTAAATATATGTAACTATTCAGGGAGACTAGGTAAAGGGTCCACTGGACCGCTCTGTCCCCTCTGATCCATTTTTGCAGGGTCTTGTGAATCTCTAATTATTTCAAAAGTACAAAAGTTTTTTTTCTTAAGAAGTATATTTTGTACTACAGATCTCTGAGTTTGCCTGCTAAATATTTTTTTTAATTAAAAAATTTAAAAATCACAGTGGAGCATACTCAGAGGACCACCCCTCGGGGTTCAGGTGGGGCCAAACAGAAAGAAGGTCAGAGACAGCCCAGAAGATGAAGGCCACAGTGAACTGGTGGGAAGAGAATCGGAGTCATTCCTTCATCGTAATCAGGCTGGGGGTTCTGGGCTTGGGCTGGGTTTCCACGACCACCACAGGGGACTGGAATGAAGGTGACAGTATCCCCCCGGGTGACACCCCCTCCCCCAGGGCAGAGCCGGCCTGGGCTCTCTGTGGACCAGCTGCGACACCACCCCCGTAGCACAAAGCCGACTTTAAAAGGAGAGTTGGAAGTTGAGACACAATGGGGCTTAGTAACTGGCACGGCCTGTTCCCTCCCACTTAGGGGAACATCTTGACTGTGAGTGACTTGCAAGGGAGTCCCTGAAGCCCTCCTGATTACAGGAGTTAATCTTCTCCAACTAAAAATAGAGTTGCCATATGATCCTGCGACCCACTCCTGGGTGTGGATCTGGAGAAAAGATACATGCATCCCTGTGTTCACTACAGCACTATTCACAACAGCCCAGACATGGAAACAGACTAAATGCCCATCGACACATGAATGAATAAAGAAGATGTGGTGTGTACATACATAAATATACTATATGATATTATATACTATATGGAATATAACGTGGTTATAAGATTTGATAATATATATTATATGGAATATTAATCATAAAAAATAATGAAATACCACTTGCAGCAACGTGGATGGACATAGAGATTGTCATATTAATAAGTTAGGATGAGAAAAACAAACACCATGTGATAGATATCACTTGTATGTGATAAATTTATCTACAAAACAGAAACAGACTCACAGCCACAGGGAAAAGGCTCACAGACTCAGGGAACAGACTCACAGATACAGAGAACACCCTTGGGGTTGCCAAGGGGGAGAGGGATGGGGGAGGGACAGGGAGTTTGGGGTCAGCAGTTGCAAACTACTCCATAGAGAATGGGTGAAAAACAAGGTCCTACTCTATAGCACAGGGAACTATATTCAATACCCTCTGATAAGCCCTAATGGAAAAGAATATGAAAAAGAATGTGTGTATGTGTGTGTGTAACTGAATCACCATGCTGTATAGTAGAAATTAACACAACATTGTAAATCAACTATAAATTAAAAACTAAACTTTTCCAAGCTTCAGTACCTGAACCATGGGGGCCTGCCCACTCCAGCCTGCCCCCTACATTCTTGTGGCCCTTGACAGGCAGTGCCCAAGAAGATAAGCGGAAGTC